ATATGCTGATTGGTTTTTGTTTTTAAAAATAGATATAAATGTAACAATATAGAGGTATACAATCTTTACTACTGCTATGTTCATGATTTTGGTGGTTTGAATTTTTTTTATGTTTTAAGAACCACAAATTATAATACTTTATGTGGATGAAGTATGCTGTGATTGTAATATATGGATGAGGCATGCAGTGATTGTAATATTCTAAAGTTTCAAACTTTCTTTCTTTGGATAAAGCATGCAGTGATTGTAATATTTTTTAAGTCATTAATTGTAATTTTTTTTGAGAAAATGCACAAGTTAAATTATGTTGAAATTTTATAAAATTTTAAACTGCCAAACCGATTCATATCCATCCGCTAATCCGCCAATCCGTTCAATCCACATTCGCCAGATTGGCGAACAGATACGGATTGATTTTCTCCAATCTGCCAATCTGGCAGACAGATGATAAATTAGAAATTTCGTAGCCGTAACCGACCCGCGCCCACCTCTAGTTGAGAGTGTGTTGAGACAATGTTAAATATATATATATATATATATATATATGGAATTAATCACTTTGTTCGGTTTTAATTTTCAAAATCAGTTTCAAAAAATTCTACTTTTTATTTTTTGTATTTTAGTGCTTTTAATGATTTTTTAAAATATTTTAAGCAATTTTTTTAAATTTTTAGACACACCGAACATAAATACATTTAAAAAATATAATATTTGTGAAAAAATCTTTAAAAAATACACTACATACAAAAGAATACGAAAATTCAATACGTTTTTTTAAATATTTTTTTTGTATTTATTAATTTTTTAAAATATTTTTTTACAAATATTTTACTATTTAGATACATCTAAGTAAGATGCATCCCAGAAAGTAAAAAAATTGCTTAATTTTTGAAAAATATTCACTAAAAATAAATAAAAAAACACGAAAAATAAAATTCAATTTTTAAAAAACTAAATTTAGAAAATTGAAATAAAACGCACTTATTATGATTCAACAATAATTATATAATAAATATTATTATTTTATAAATATGTAAAATTCAATAAAATCCTAAAACAGTATCCATGGCAATATCATGTAACAACCGGGGGGTAATTCTGTAAACTCGGTACATTCGGTAAAGAGGATAATGAATTTTCATGAGTGGTGCTGTTAGCACCTATAGGAAGGTTCGAGGTTAGAAACATGATTAGAGAGACAAAACTATACTAATGATCCAACAATGGTGAAATGATTGAAGGATGAGCAGTAGCGCAACTGTCTTGGAAGTTGGAGAGTGAGTAGCTGGGTGAGGGTGAAGTAAGTAGCTCAAGAAAAAGACAATGGCAGTGCACAGATAGACAACATCTCCCCCAAATCCCCAAATCATCATCTCTTGGGTTGGGAAATAGGTATTATTTATAAGCTTTTATTTGATACCAAGAGGACCCTAAGTGGCCAAATAGAGAAAAGACATGTGTCCCAGAGGATCACATGAAATATTCTGCCTTGAGCTACCAGGTTAGAAATGACACGCGTTTCTCTGCACGTACCGTGTACTATCTGTTTGGCACAACTGCCTCAGCAAGTGCGGTTAGAAATGGTTTTGAAGTTTTGGAAAAATCTGATTTTTCTAAAACTTTGGTCTATTTTTTAGGTAGGATCCATACGCCAAAGTTGGCGGGTCTAAGTGATAACGCGTTTTATGCCGCGTTGTGATTCACGTTATATATTTGGTTACTCAAAACCATTATCGAGTGAATGAAAAATTGAAGTCAAAGTGAACTCCATGGAAATGGAGTTTTTTGTGAAAATTTCTTAAAGTTTGAATAAAGACTTGTCTCACATTGGTTTAGTAGGAAGAATTTTGTAAGTTTATAAGACATGAGATTATAACTTGGAGAGGGCCCCAATGAGCACTCCAAGTTTGTAGAAGGGAGATGTTATGGGCAAATTGGACTAGACCCATTGGACAAAAAAAAAACACGCACGCACGCCGCCGCTGTCCGGTCGGCGCGGGCTGGGCTAGGCTGGGCTTGAGCACGGGTGCATGATGTGAGGTTGGGTTGGGCTTGTCCAACCCAATACTTATTTTTTTAGCCAAAAAACATTTGAATTTTATTTTCTAAAATTAAATTCTAATTTTTTGGAATTTAAATTTTGAAAATTAATTTCAAAATTGGTTCTGGTTTTATTTTCCCCATCCGGACAGATTCAAATCTGTGCAATACGGTTTTTATCTGTTCAAAATTTGAACCCAACAGATTTATATATGTTCATTCAAACCGAACAGGTATCATACCTGTTCAAACAGATTTTGCACATGTTTAATTCAAACCTTACAACTACGAAATTTCCTATATAAAGGCAATCCCTTATTTGGATATTCATTTACAATTTTCATTCTTCTCTACTGCAATAAATCTCTGCATTTTGCTACATTAAATTTCTGTGATAAATAGTGTAAATACTTAGTGTGTTCGTTGTGCAAACAATTTGTAGTGCTGCTATTGTTTGCTGTTAATCATTTTATCCTGGAAGATAGACGTCCACAATCTAAAAGTACCGTGGAGAGGACGAATCTGTCTTAAGGATACAGTGTTAAACATTGGACTTGATTAGAAAAATTTGTTCAATAAATTAATTTGGTAAGTAATTAATTATTTTTTGTTTTATTATTTTTCTGTTTTAGATTTTTCATTTTGTTTTTGTAACAAAATAAAAATATGTTTTATTTTATTTTATTTTATTTTCTGGTTTGATTTTTGTAATCAAACAAATTCTCTCATTTCCTTTATTTCTTCTTTATTCCGTTTGTTGTTAAGTACACAAACAGAATTTATTTTTCAAATACAGTGAAGATTGTCCTACAAGTGCACTTGCGGCGGAAGTGTTTGCTGATGTAACTTGCCTTCTCAATATGGACCTTACAAACACCTCAGCGAGTGCACTTGTGGCAATAAAACCTTGCCGCTGCACTTGTATTCTCAATTCAATTTGGCCAATACATGTATTCTTAAGACTTCATAGCCTGTTATCGGCCATGTTTTTCGTGTTCTTCTCAGCGAAACCTTCACCCTTAGCCACCTAACCACAAACTCCCCAACTTCCCAAGGCGAAGGCCATAACTAAGCCTTCTGTCAGCCATGTTATGCTTTAGTACCAAGCCCAATGAAGGCTTCATTAAGTCCTGATTGTGCGACTAAGGCAAGTCCATGACCTGGGTAATGGAAACGGAGTTCCTTATACTCGAGCTACCCTACTCCAATCTTCGTGGAGTTGTCGCGGTATTCTGGTTTACCATTGGGCCTACTTTCAGCTCCAATCAGTGACATATGGAACCTGCTATCAATCCTAGGCTTGCTAGCAACTTTTACTTGCAACTTTTACTTGCGGAGGAGAAACTTCTCCCAAATGTTGCTATCACTTTGGTGGGGTGCCTCCATTCACAAGTTAGTTGTGGTGGCTGTAGTTGCTGCGGTGGCAATTTACCGTTTCAAGTCTAAATGGCTACCCCAACAATATTAAGGATAGTAGCGTCGACAAAGTACCTGTAACTTGTGAGCTGCAAGTGTTGCTTCCACAACTTAGTTGCTTCGTTTGTTCTGTTTCCCTCAGCAATTTTGAAATGGCGACGGAACCGACAATATTGGAGATGACAGCTTTGAGACAAAGTGCCTCAGTAACTTTGACCGCTGCAAGTAGTACATCTGCAACTTGACTTAAACACCTTCTTTATGGAGTTTGTTTGGATATTTGGCGGGTCGAACCTGCTTCGGCCCATTTGTTGGCCCACTTCCCTTGGGTTTTAGCCCATGCTCCTTTAGATATTCTTGGTTCCCTAAAAAGGGCGACATCAGCACTTAGATCTATACTTAATTTGGAGTTTAATTTCTGACCCTCCACAACACCCCATCTATTATTTTAGATCTATTTTTTAGACTTATACTTATAAGTTTTGAAACTCTTAAAATATATTTCATTCCTTCAAATAATACAAAAATTATTATTGTGAAAATATTTCACTCATTCAATTGAATGCACACCCGTAACACTAAAAAAAAAATCTCTCTCCTAAGAACCCTAACAAAACCTATGAAAAAGAAGAAGAGCCAAGTGTAATTATTGTCTCTGCTCTCTCTCTCTGCCACTTCATCATTTTATTTGTTGATTAATGTCCGATTTCTGGTTCCAGAACAAATAATAAATGTTCGGTTATTGGTTCTCGAACAAATAAATAATGTTCGGGCCTGTATTCCTAAATTTCGGTCATATGTTCGGGAGTTCGGTCCCTAAAAAATGACAAACAGATTTTATTATTTTTGTATATTTTTTTATTTTTTTATTTTAAGAAACTTACCTTACAAGGCCAATTTCCTTTGAGCTAAGAATACCATCAAAATTATGAATTTCCTTTGAAATTTTATTGTTGCACTCCTCTCGTCTCACGGAGTTGTGGTTGTCGAAAAAATATTCACTTATTATCATTGCCGAAAAAGTGTGGGTAATCAAAAGGTTCCTACTATTATCGTCGAAATATTGCCGCTAACGGGTTTTCAAGATTTTGAGAGTGGGTAAGTTTTGAAGGTGAGATTTAGAAAAAATGAACGGGTGATGATGGAGGTGAGTGTTTTGATAAATCCTAATTCATGATGTAGTAGTGTGTGAGTTTAATTGTGAGATGAAATATCTCAAAAATAATATCTTTTTTTAATAATTTTATTTGAGATTGTTATTGTAATAAAATAAACTAAAAATTGAAGGATCCAAAATAATTCATGATGCTAATAGCAGCATTCATTTTCATAGTGCGGTTCGTCAATACACGGTGGGTTGCGTCACAGCATATTAAAAATTGAGACGGAGAAAGCTTAGATTTGATAAGAAGACGACGCGTGGCAAAACATATCAGATATGATGGGAACAGGTGGCGAAAACGGTGGGATTGGAACCACTGGATGATTTGATCCTCTACAACCCTAAAAAAGAAATTAATCAATCCCACACACGCCACTACTATTTTAGAGAGGGTGTTTTATATAAACTATACTTTTTGTTTTCTTCAATGGTGTACTTTTTCACAACTCTCTCTCTAGCAGTGTTCAGTTTGGACTCTGCAATTCTCTCTTCTTTCAATTTCAACCTTCTCTTTCCTCTCTCTGAAGGTATATGCATTGACTCGTTGCTTCGACATTGGTACGTTCTGTTCTATTACCCTTTTTTTTCTTACTGTGCTTTGTATGTACTTTGTTTATGTATATGCTTTTTTTTTTTTGGTTTAATGTTGAATTTGATCAATGATTTGAGGTTACTGATTTAGATTATTATTTGTTGTTTGTACTATAAGTGCAAATCATGCAATGTGATGTGACTTTGATTATATAAGATGTTTGTTTTTGTAGTTGTAATTATTTCTTGTAAAATTCTTTTGCGAATTGGTTGATTGTGTACATAGAAGAGAAAATTGCAGATGTGTATAGATATAAAAATTATAATTTATAGATGATGAGTTATGTGATTAAAAAAAAAAAGAAGGTAAATTACAAATAACCCCGAGATTTGCTTAAAATACAAATTGTCCTGTGGTTTGAAAAATTACAAATACATGCTTGTTACTATTTTTTATTTAATAGAATTAACTAAAAAAAAATGAAATTCATAATTACTCTTCTATACAATAATAAAATTATCTAAATTATTAATTAAAACATATTTCTAGCATCATTAAAAACTGTCAATTGACTTGATGATTTATTAATAAAATGGGTGATTTGTTATAAAATTAGAAACCTCAGGGTGGAATGTAATTTCTAAAATTACTGGGGCGATTTGTATTTTAATCAAACTTCAGGGGTGTATTTGTAATTTATCCAAAAAAAGAAAAGAAAAGGTGATAGATGACTAAGCTATGAAGAATGGATACTTTGACAAACATGTCGTATCGTGTCGAATGGGTATGGGTATGGGTATTTTGCTGGGTACTTCCTGGGTATTGAGTACATAAAACACATATTCAGATTTTTTTAATAATATTTCCGTACTTACAGTATCTAAGTATATATTCAAGCTGTATATTAACTGGAATAGTATTTTTTTCTATATGGAAGTGAGGTTTGTTTCATTCAATTTATTTATTTATTTTATGCTTATCATGATTTTATAATTATGTATGTTTGATAAAAAGTGTGAACATTGATATATATATATATTTTTCTAATTTTGAAAATACAAAAATTATTCAACAAAAATTGTGAAGTTTCTCACTTTTTGACACTGAAAATTCAAAAATCATCTACCAAACCCAAAAAAAAAAAAAAAGAGGGAAAGGAGAAAAGGACGTCTTACTATGAAATTTTTCAGTGGAATTCTTCGAATGTAGTACCGGCAAACGGGTAGATTGGCGATGAAAGAAAGAGAGAGCTTGCACTCACCAAAATACTAAAGAGGCCTTCAAATAGCAAAAGCCCAACACACACACACACACACATATATATATCCATGAAATCCCTCATTTGATGTTTTGATGTTACTAAATCGGTTGCAGTTTTCAGTCAATTGTTTCAGGCTGTTTACGCCGAACATTGAATAGAAACTTGAGTTTCTCCCAAGGCCTTCCAACTACTATTGAGGCTTTCTTTGTATAAACTACTATCCTAATCACAAAATTTATGTGGTTTTACTTTTTTGATATTTTAGGCCATCTCAGGATGCAAATCTATTAAATGTGATCAAGTATCATTTTTCACAATATATTTTCGGTGGTGCTACATGCACCAATTAGTGTACTAACTAGTGTACCAAAACTAGTTATGACATTATTATTGACCCCACTCATTAATCATATTACAAATACCAAAAACTTTTTAAATTATGCCACATCATCAATTGGTATACTAGTTAGTACACTAATTGGTGCATATAATATTATTCATATATTTTTATATCGCAATGAGAAGATATGCTTCATTTAAAAGAGGGGCAAATTAGTCCAAAACACAAAATTTTAAAAATAGGACTTAATCTATTAAGAAACATAATCAATGGCACTCCTTGGGTTAACAAAAAAATTACGGGACCTAATCTACTATAATACCTATTCGGAGGACTTATCACCAATTTCCCCTTTAAAAAATTATTCCAGTTGTTTTACCATAACTATATTTGTTTATAGTGGTATTTTTTTGTCCGATATATTTAATGTATTAAAAAATAGGGTCTTAAGAATGTATATATTGTTCATGTTATTTGTCTAAATTTATGTACATGATGTTTTCCCTTAAGACAAAATCCTAGCTCTGTCTTTGGTTCAAACCATGCAAATAGCCTCCCCGCATACAACCTAAGGCTGATACATCTAACCCTCAGTGAACCTGAAAGAAAAAATAACAGTAAACTAACATAATAAATGTGTTTGATTTTGAAAGGAATATTTTTATTAAATTAAATTAATTGTAATTTCTAGTACTTAGTCTTTGTTTTATAAGTCATGTATAGCTGTTGATAATTTTTGGTTTAAATAACCAATATCTTTTTTGATACCTATTAGGTAGTTTCTGTTTGCACTGTGCAAAGTATCATTTTGTTGCTTATAGCTTCTTGTTCTTTTGTTTATGTAACTTTGAGATTGATGACATTCTTATTGGGTTATAAATTATCCAGTGGAAAGCTGCAGAGATGGAAGAGGGTGTTTGGGTACCAAAGACACCTGCAAAGTCCATTCTGGCAAGGTGGGGGCCAGTTTCTGTGGACGGAAATTGGAAAAACCATGTAAGTGGAAGTTTTTCGACTGGGACTTCACACGATTCTGCGGAATTCAATGCCATGTCTTCTGCAGACTCCATGGATGCAGCACAGGCTTTGAAAGAGAGGATTGCTAATGAGTTTGATTTGAACAAAAGTCCATGTGAGTTGGGTTTTGGAGATTCAAGCAATGGTGATTGTGAGGATATTTTGGCTGGGAAACAAGGAATAGAAAATCATGATCAGGCATGCATTGATTTGGGGTATTTGAAGGGGATAAATGGTACAGAGGCTCATGTTGGTGGGATGGCTGAAAGTTCTGGCTTGATGAGTAGTGAGAATTCAAGTAGAGGTGTTAATAGTTGTGGCACAATATTAGCTTGCTTAGACAAAATTCATTTCACGGAGCTCTTAAGTTTACCAGTTGAAACTCTGCCAGCCTTTGAAACATGTGCAACACCATGGGGTGGGGTTGGCAGAATGCCTGGTGATGGTGTGTGTCCTACTTCATATTCTAAAAATGACAGCAGCATGAACACTCCACTTGCAACATCTTCCTTTGCTGAATTTGGCAACTGTGTGGAACGAAAAGATAATACTGAGATATATGGGTGTAAGTCATTTTAACTTTGCCTTTGGATTCTGCTTTGTCTTTAGCAAGGGTACAAGTGAAACATCAGTTAATTTTTTACACTTGAAAACCCCCTCCTTTGTGAAATATTTAATTTCTAGCACAAACCGAAGGGGTTTCCATCGCAAGCTGCATCAGTTGTGATGCTTGCTATAATGATCTGAATTTCAACACCAAGTGAGAGAGCTGATCATCTTCTCTCGTGGAAAGTAAAATTAATATGTTTTCTATTAGTGAATTTTTTTGTTTTATTTTGTTGCAGTTCATGGACTAAATCAAGACAAACACGAGGATGATGATCTTTTTGCAATCAATAAAGATGGCAATGAAAAATTTCGGCCTTCTGTTCGATCAGCTTCTACTGGCTTTTCAACTCCATCAAAGAAGGGTAATGCCAGATACAAAGATGATGTAAACTTGAACAAACAGTCACGGACCAAAAGGAAAAGATATTGGCCCAAAGTAGCAGTCGAAGGAAAGCTAAAGAAGACTCCAAAACCTTCAACTCCAAAGCCTTCAACTCCAAAACCACGCACTCCAAAGCCTCCTAAGCATGCAACCTGCAAGAAAGGTTCAGTTGAGAAGCGGAAGTATGTTAGGAAGAATAATCTCAAAGGCTCTACCAAACCCTCAAAAGACATAGGTGTTGATAGGCAAACATTTGATGCAAGTACCGGATGTGTTTTAGAATCAGGCACACCAGCTCTCAATTCCACCTTTTTCTTGGAAAATCATGAGTGTGAGTATGTACAGAATAATAGAATCACGGCCTCAGCCAGGCGAGCTCTCAAATTCAATGGAAAAGATGCCGGAATCATTATTCGTCAATATCAACGTCGGAAAAAGAAAAAGGACAGTTCATCACATGACACAAACTCAATTGTACAACAGTCCAAAGAAGACAATGAATCAATGGTTGAAAACTCAGCAGACATGGCGTTTGGCTTTACCCAGTCCAAGAAGTGGAATAAAACTACTTACATGGAAGAAAGAGGAGCTACTAATGATGGCACAAATCAAACTGGTTGCCGCTACAACTCCATGAAAGTCTACCGAAGGATATTCCAATGCCTAAGCAATAGCAGAAAACTTGGACCCAATTTTCCTAAGATATGCAAGCAAAGAAGGATGAGGAGACTGAAGACAACAAATTTTGCGTCCTTTGGAAACACGGCCATGTACGGCACTTTGCAGTCTATTATAGCTGCAGAAGATGGCCAGAGGATACTCAAGAAAAGAAGGTTGAGGAGACGAAAGGCAACTAAGTTTGGAACTTGGTGGTCTGTTAGAGCTGCAGAAAATGAACAAACACGGGTACAACCCAACAATGTTTCATCGACACCTATTGACAGACAATTGGCTCCTCAATTCAGTGTGAAGAACCTACCTGTGGGGATCGAAAGCTGTGATATAAAATTCCTCTTTACAATTGCCAACTGCAATTTTGTAGTGCCAAATTATTCGGGGATAATGATTTCACCCACAATTGCACAAAGATTGAAAGCAGTTAATGATCCAGATTCATTCAAGTGTGTGCTATCCTTAACCCCATTTGCCACAACAACGAAGAAGAGATCAAATGAGTCCACTCGAAGGCTGAATTTAGGTTACACAACCTTAATACCGAGTTGTAACCAGTTGCCATCAGCTCCTTGTACACAAGCCTTTAATGGTAGAGTTTGGAACCAGGAAGTACTACTTGCAGACAACAAAAATATGGTAACAAAGACGCAGTTTAAGATGGGGTTGTTCCTTGACAATGCAGTGTATGGTCATAATAAAATGGAAGGCTGCCCCAAGGATGTCTTGTCCACTCAGAAAAGTAATCACCTAAACCTTCTTCATGAAGTATAGTGTTAGTTCCAAATTATTGTGAATTATCAGGGATTAATATTTGTCTTCTATGTGAATTTGATACAGGTATTCAGGATGAGTATTCATTAGCATTCACAGATGTTATTGAGAGACTAGAGGGTCTGCGTATAAGCAATGAACATGGTCAACTCATTGTGTACAATCAAAATGCATATGGCACAGATGGGGGGCACGGGCCAGTCATTCCCTATAATCCTAAGAAGCGAAAGCCACCACCTAAGGTTGATATTGACCAAGAAACAATGAGAGTTTGGAAACTACTAATGGAAAATGGAGGTGAAGATGTTGAAGGGGAAAAAGCCGAAGATAAAGAGAAATGGTGGGAAGAGCAGAGAGAAGTTTTTCGTGGTCGGGTGGATTCATTCATTGCTCGTATGCATCTTATACAAGGTACAAAAATATTTCACTCATAATTGAAATCCAGGCATCACAATTTTATGACGTATCATCAGTTTCGTGGTATCATAAATATTGTTATTTCAATTTTCAAATGGCTTCGGTTGCTATTTCCAAAGATTGATCACCACAGAACACCATTAACAAATAAGATACAGGCAATTATGTAGGTTTTATGAAACACCCAAAGAGCTTGTATAAATTAATTTAACACTGTTGTTTCTTTTTTTTTTTCCCTTCACTCTGTTACTACTTAACAAAACTTAGCAGTCCTACTACTAATTAGAGATTATATGGCCCTGTATAGAGAAGGATTCATGTAGCCAAACGAGGGTGGAGTAGACTCTTTTACGTTGAGCTGCTGAGATGGTCAGTTTAATCTGTGTTTCGTGTACCAGTTACGTTTTTGAATGTAGCAAACAGCTGCTGTATTTTTTAGATTTCAGTCTATCTAAGCCAGAAAAAGAAACTAGTCCTGAATAGTAGTGCAACTTCTAGTGCACATACTGACATACGTTAATTAAATGCAAATTTGATTGACTGATTAGTGATGGACTTCACAGGGGATAGACGTTTTTTGCCATGGAAAGGTTCAGTGGTGGACTCAGTGGTTGGAGTCTTCCTTACTCAAAATGTTTCAGACCATCTTTCAAGGTAAACCTGAGTTCAGTAATCTATACTGCCAAATTTTTGGACTTATGCTATTAATTATGTGGTGGATGATCTTCTTACGTCTTGCTGTTTCCTATAGCTCCGCCTTCATGTCTCTCACTGCAAAATATCCCCTTCGACCTACAACTAACCACAAAGCATGTGATGAAGATGAGGAAATTGCATGCAGTCAAGAATCAGTTGGAAGTAGTATAGGAGCAGTTGAGCAAACACTTGATGCAAACAGTAATGGGTCTCTTGTCTCTGAAACTAAACTAGATTTGGGTCATCAATTGGTAGAGAACAATGTCACAACAGCAGGAAGGGAAATTTCAGATGAAGCAGAAGGCAGGACAGTAGTCAAAAATGAATTTTCACCTCACAATTTTGTGGATTCTGTAATTGATGGAAATCCAACAAGTACCTCTCAGCTCTCTACACAAACACTTGATGCAAACAGTAATGGGTCACTTGTCTCTGAGACTAAACTAGATTTGGGTCATCAATTGGTAGAGAACAACGTCACAACGGCAGGAAGGGAAATTTCAGATGAAGCAGAAGACAGGACAGTAGTCAAAGATGAATTTTCACCTCACGATTTTGTGGATTCTGTAATTGATGGAAATCCAACAAGTACCTCTCAGCTCTCTACCATTGAAGTATTTAGTGGTATCACTGAAATTGTGCAGTTGGAAGAAACAGCTTGTCTCCTAAATTTTAGTAGTTGTGAAAATGGAAACCTGTTATTCAATGAAAGCTTAGTTGATTGTGACCTATCAAGAAAATTGGAGAATGAAAAGCAAGGAGCAAGCCCCAACATATTGTTTGATGCGAATGACACACATGCTCATGTGTGTTCATCCAGTTCCCAGAATCCATATTCTTATATTCCCCTTACTCCTGCTGATTTAGAAGCAGATTCTCTGGAAATCCTGGCAAAGTCTACAAACACCAAGACGAAGGATGTAGGGGACATTAGAAAAATTATTGGATGTGTGGAATCATCTGGCAGTGAAACTATTGTTCGGCAGAAGGCTACACCAAGAGCTCAAGAAGCAACAGTTGACCAGTGTGCATCATTAAGCAAGTGCCAAGTGCTCCCAGAATGCAGTTCACAGACAGAAGTCAACCGAGCAAAGGGCAGGCTCTCTAGCAAGAATCACCATGGAGGGAGTAAAATTATCCCTCAGACTGAAACTCCCTCGAAGAGAAAGAAAAGCAAGTTTGAGGAGAAGCAAGATAACCCAATCAACTGGGATGATTTGAGGAAAACCTACAGAGCAAAAGAAACCACAACTAATACAATGGATTCCTTAGACTGGGAGGAAGTTAGGCAGGCGACAGTTGATGAGGTTGCTGACGCCATCAAGGGACGAGGGCAGCATCGTGTGCTTGCAGGACGGATTAAGGTACATCATGAAAATGAAAATTTTGACTAATTGACCTTCAGATGGTCAATGCCATTCATTAAATGTTGAGAAATTATTCAATACTCCTGGAGTAAGTCTAGGTGGTGCTCCAAATGAGTTGCTATTGGTCTAAATCATGGGATCCATCAGTTTTGTGTTAAGAGTTTTAGGAGACAAAGTGTTTTAAGTGTCAATCTGTAAATGGAATGGAGTATTGCTCCAAGAGCATTGAATAATTTCTCTTAAATATGATGATCCTTAATAATTGCTCACAGGTGCCAATGATTGTTTCAGGAGTTCCTAGATCGGGTGGTTAGAGATCATGGGAGTCTCAATCTAGAGTGGCTGCGAGATGTTCCACCTGACAAAGCAAAGTAAGAAAGCGTAAATAGTTAGATCTGTTATCATGTCTGATTCTTGTAGGAACATTAATAGACTGCAAAATGTCAAGTGAAGCACGATAAATTAATAATATATGCAAATTTGGTTTGTAAATTGTCCATATTTATAGGGATTACTTGCTGAGCTTTAAAGGACTGGGGTTGAAAAGTGTGGAGTGTGTAAGGCTTTTGTCACTCCATCATCATGCCTTTCCAGTAAGATCTTATTGAAACTTCTGATCGGTTATTAGCTTATTAAAATTTTACTATGCTCATTATATTACATGATTCTTGCTTAAGGTTGATGTCAATGTTGGACGAGTAGCAGTTCGTCTAGGATGGGTTCCTTTGCAACCGCTCCCTGAGTCGCTTCAAATACATCTTCTAGAGCAGTACGTACTGTAATAGCAACTGATCAATACCCAATGAAATTTCCAATCAAACCAAAATTCTGATATTTCTTTTCTTTAGGTACCCGCTGTTGGATACTATTCAAGTATACCTGTGGCCACGGCTGTGCACACTCGATCAAAGAACATTGTAATTCCTAACTAACAAGAATAATCTTCAAAATATCTGTGTGTATTTTTGTTATAAACCACTTATGCTTACAATACTACAAAATTGCTTTATAGTAAACAAAATCTCTAATACAGGTATGAACTACATTATCAGATGATTACATTTGGAAAGGTATGGTATCATATGTTATTTTATCTCATTTTTATCGATCTGATTTTTTTATGACAAGAAAAATCTAGAAGTGACATGGCCTTACAGGTTTTCTGTAGGAAGCGAAATCCAAACTGCAATGCATGTCCGATGAAAGGAGAGTGCAGACATTTTGCAAGTGCATTTGCAAGGTTTGCATCACATTTACTGCTACGCTTTCTTAATTTTGTGCAACATTCATTGGCATTGAACTGAAGTGGTAATGGTTGTCAGAATTCTGATCCGGATCTTACGATTTATTTGGGTACAATCGATTCGGATCCTGTAAAAAATCTCTTACATGTAGGATCTTTTGATCCCGGTAATTGGATCTTATAGGATCGTAGAATCCCGATCCAAATCGAATGCTATCTGATCCAATTTGTAAGCCTTGTTTTGTATTGTATGATATTTTTTTATTGTCAATTTTATGTTTGTTGTCTAAATATCAATTTATTTGGTCCAAATGAATAAAAAATAAAATAAAATAGTATTGAATCAAATAGACTAAGAAAAACAAACATTTAAATATTGCAATAATTTAAGAAAACTAACTAGTCAGAAAAGTAAACTTAGCTTTAGCAGGATCTGAGGAGGGTGATGGGTCGTTACACACACAAAAAATAAATACTAAATTATACCAAATTCCTTAGAATAATGGTAAGTCTAAGTATCAATCCACATGGCCAAATGTGAAATTAAACTAATTTAATTGTTAAATTTCTAAATTAATTCTGATAAAAGAGATGATTGTTTATAAACTAATGACAATTAAAATACTAACAAATTAAACTAGCGATTAAAAATGAAATTGGGATTACTGATTTTGGAAAAATCTAGGGTAATGAATTCATCGCTAATTACATAAATAAAGTTTCAATTTGAAAATCAATTATGTTAATGTTCAAACTAAGGCTAGGTTTGGCATCCCCTAAAAAAGTCAAAAAGTCACTATCCTATTTAAGTCACATTATCTTATTTAAGTCACATCACCTCTCTACCACATCATTTCAAACCCAACCCATATTTCATAAAAAGTCAAAAAGTGCACTTATTTAGAACATCGCAAACAACCCCTAAATACTATTTCGCAACTACAAGTTTGAAGCATTGATCAAAAGAATTATCACGTTCAATGTATGAGCACGAACCATCTCAAGTAGCACGAGTTGTTCGCTTTAAATTACCTTGAATATGAAAGAATATAAAACCATTGTATGGAAAGTATTCAACAATCAGAGAAAGTAGAATACTTGAAGAAATAATAAAAAATATATATGAAAACTTCTTGAATACCATACAACTTTTTCAAACCATTACATAATCAAAGCCAAAAAGAAAACCCTATTTACTTGGCTAGGGTTTCATCAAAACCCTAGAAATAGAAGCCTAGCCACTCATGGAGGAATGGGAAGAGGTGGAAGAAGATGAAACCCCCATGAAAGATGTTCTTGAAGCTTGAAAATCCCCCTTTCCAAACCCTAGCCCCTCTTCTCTTTTGGAATTTTCGGAACCCCCAAATCAGCCTCTTTTTTTCTTTTTATTCCCAGCAGAACAAATTGGAAATTCCGTGCACGCAACCCTAGGTGGGCTGCTTGAGCGCCCATACTTTCCGCTCGAGCGGTGGTGGGCCGCACCTGTAGTGAGGTGGTAGGCCGGGAATTTGCACTACTCGCACGGAGAATTTGCTTTTGTGTCACTTTTTGCATGAATTTGCGTGTTGCTTGCCAAATCTGTACAAGTGCACAAAACACATCATTTCCACCAAATAAACAAAATTCAAAGACTATAAATGTAACTTACGTGGCCTTAATGTGGTACCTTTCGGCCTACATCAGAGGGCAAGATGATGCAACTTTGCCCCAATTTTTTGAGAGATTATTTTTGTGACTTGAACCCACTCCACTAGGGATGCTAACGACAAACCTTATTATTCGATTAAGCCGCTCTTTTGAGTACTCAATCTATTTTCATATCCAACTTTATTAAATATTTTTCCTTCAATTTTTATGTATTATTTGTTGTAGATTGCAAAGTATTTTGTTATAGAATTGTTCTTCTTCATTTTCTTTTTTAATGAAATGCTATACTTTTACCATTGAAATTTCTATTGTGTAATAATTTATTTACATTTTACATGGAGTGTTATATTTTTCACGATATCTTCACTTCTTTTTAGTAGAATATAGGCTTATTGTGTACACTTTTTAAGAAATGTTTATTTAAATTAAATTATTACGTAATTTGTTTTCTCGGTAGGATCTTACGATTCTTGATTTGATTCTACAATCCGATCCTGTAAACAACTCTAATGATCCAACGTAGGATCCCGATTTTAACAACCTAGACCAGCCTCCCAATGTTTCAACTATCTACAGCTGATCCTAGTTGTTGAAACAGAAAAGGAAGGAAAAAAGGGGAGGAAAAAATCCAAACAAGAATGAAATATCAGGCAGGATCATTGACTTGCCATTATTTTCTATGAAAAAATCATGATGATACTGACATTAATATAGCAACAGCTAACGATATTGTTCTAGTTTCTTGTAAATTCTAATACATAAACATGAGGGTTTGGACTTAACAAAAAAAGAAAATAAATAAACATTAGTGTTTGGGTGCACTCGATTTTGCAACGCTCAAAGCCAGAGCAGTCCATCTTAGAACATATTATTAAAAGCACGTTTTTTTATAGATTAGATTACTGACTAAACATACTAAATGCAGTGCTAGGCTTGCCCTGCCAGGGCCACAGGAGAAAAGTATGGTGAGTTCAATGGTTCCAGGTGCAGCTGTTCAAAACTCCACCATGGTCATTACACCAGTAACTGAGTCCCTGCCTGAGGCTACCTTCTCAGAATCAAGATATCAAACCAAGAACTGGAAACCTATTATTGAACATCCTCCATCTCCAGTGCCTGATTCTGCAGAAAATTTGGAGAGGGACATTGAAGATTTTTATTACGATGAACATCCTCCATCTCCAGTGCCTGATTCTGCAGAAAATTTGGAGAGGGACATTGAAGATTTTTATTATGAGTCCGAGGATGATATACCTACTGTCAGACTTGATACTGAAGAGTTCAAAGAAAAATTACGGGAGTTCATCTACAAAAGCGATATTCTCCTTGAAGAGGGTGAAATGTCAAATGCTCTTGTAGCTTTAACTTCAGAAGCTGCGTCAATGTCTGTGCCCAAACTGAAGCAAGTTAGCCGGTTAAGGACAGTGCACCATGTGTAAGTATGCATATCTTGATATGTCTGAGGAATTATTCAAAATTTATGTCCACACAAATCACGAATATTTAGATGAATTGAATAGATTTAGTCTCCAAAACAAAAAAACCATAGACAAAATTTTAAAGAAACTAATGCCCCATTTTTTATATGTAATGGAACATTTTTTTTCTAGATAATAGCTAGTGGCTAAATCTAGAGCTGATAATTGCACATAAGTAAAATGTCAAGCACAATACTTGCAAAGCATCCATGATATGAACATGTTAAATCAACATATGCTTGGATAGTATGACAGATTTTATATCAACATATACTTGATTTCAATTTATTTATGCAATGTAGCAGTGAACAATTCCCTACATAGTGCATGTTATATTGCTAATTAATTATCCTAATGCAGGTATGAGCTTCCTGATTCTCACATTATTTTAAAAGAGGTAAGTTGTGTCACCTATCCATTATGCTAGTATTTCAATATTATTTGCATGCATCCATATATCTAGTATTTCATTATTATTTGCATTCATCCATATATCATTCTGATAAACTCTTTGTATTTGTTACAGCTAGAAAAACGGGAACCTGATGATCCAAGTCCATACCTTCTTGCTATATGGAATTCAGGTACAGAAGTAACATGGAAAGCTTTATTTGAAAAGCTTATAATCCAACAATTCTAAACAAGTCCCAAGATGTAGCACATACTCAGTACACAGTACTCATAAATGTTGGAGAAAGGGCTATCCTTTTTCGATTTTTTTTTCTTTCTTTGTGTGTTGGTGCGTGTGTACCCCCGTGTATGAATGGTTTATTCTAGCTCTCTAGATTGCAGGACCCACATTGTTAGAACTCAAATTACAACTTCAATAAAGTGCAGCAGTGTATCATGAACTTTTTTATCAAATAAATTAAGTTACCATTTGCCAATGTTTGCTAATATTCCAAGTGGAATTTCTATTATCAGGTGAGACTTCAAATTCCTCCAAATCACCGAGAAAGCAATGTGACTCTTTGGGATCAGAACCATGCAATGAGTACACGTGCTCTTCATGCAATAATAGTCAAGATTTCCAAACAGTTAGTGGAACAATTTTGGTGAGGAAAAGCTACAACCCATGTTATATTCTGCATTGTGTCACTGCAATTTGAAATGCTAAAACTATGGTAGAAATTGACAAACAAAATGTGTGAACAGATACCATGTCGAACAGCAACAAGAGGAAGCTTTCCACTCAACGGAACATACTTTCAGGTTAATGAGGTAAATTTCTCTTCCGAAATCTTTTTTCTCACCGTAATTATCTTTTCAGATAATGCTGTTGCATTGAAATGAAATTGTTATCTTATGCAGGTCTTTGCTGATTATGAATCCAGTGAGCACCCTCTTGTTATTCCTAGATCATGGATATGGAACCTGCGAAGACGAACTTTATACTGTGGAGCCTATGGATCAGCAATATTTAGAGGTAAAGAATCATTGCACCTTGTGACTTGGATATGATTTGAACAAACTTTTATGAAGTTTAAAGTTTGGCTAACACCACATTATTTTTTTGTAAACCAGGTTTATCAATGCAGGAAATCCAGAGTTGTTTTTGGAGAGGTATTAAATGACAATTTTCTTTATTTGATAGCAAATAGTTTCCTATTTATAAGATATTAAAAATATGAACCTAGTTTCCACAACAAACAACTCAGTTTACCCCAGAAGATTAGGATGTTTTAGAAGTCTTTGCAACAACCAAATTCCAAATTTTTGCAATTTAGGCTTTTATATAATTTGAATCAGATTGTTAAAGAAGAATGAAAGAATTGAATGGCTTAGTCTAGAATGGAGACTAGCCTGTGTATATATACTGATAGAAATTTACAAGATAGGAAATAATGTAAAAGGAAACAAAATCAAGGCCTAAACAATGGCCATAAAATAAGCCCTAGTTGATTCTAATTGATTCTAATTCCAACATTTAAGTGGGTAAGATTTAAGTTCACTTGCATCACTACCTAAGAGATATTTGATGCAGCCCGGTTGATGTGGGATCGACGGAAAGATAATAGGCTGATTACTAGTATCAAGTGATTGGTCTTGTTAGGGGTCTTTGAAATAAATTTTATGTAGTTTCAGTTAAAGTAATAGAAGTTTAGATGTGTTAGCTTAGCATTTTAGCGTTCAGCATGATTAAATTTAGAGTATATCTATATGTTTTTGGAATATTTCTTTAGCCTATAAGCAGTGTCTGTTGTTGTAAAATGAAATTAGCATCCAAATATGAATAAAACTCAGATTTGATTGATAGATCTTGTCTTCTTCTTTTCTCATCTCTTGCTCTTTTCTCACATCTCTTCTCTCATATCTATGTCCTTTCTACCTTTTTATCCTTATCCCATCCAATTTTCTATCTATCATTATTCTCTTTCTTATTCCATATTTTCCTTTCTCTTTTATCTTCTTCATAAATTTCTCACCCTTCATCAAAAACAAAAAGGTCAGCACTTCTTGTATATGTTCAAAGAATATCTCATGCGTCGAACTCCGTCAGTTTCGTGTCAAAGCAAAGCCATAATAGAGATGATGCTACAAAGATCTTTCATTTGTTTAAGAGCCATGAAACTCAGGGTTGAGTTTTCTCTATAAATGAGGATTTGATGCAACCTAGATGACGGATCCATGGCAAGATGATAAGCTGATTACTAGTATTATGTGATTAATCTAGTTAGGGTTTTTGATAAAATTTTAGTTGAGTTCGGTTTGTATGTTGGGCAGGATTAGTTTTAGAAGATAAATGTGAGTTTTTAGGGTTTTCTTCTATACAATTAGGCTCTGTTCTTCTTACTCTTATTCTTGTGACCTTGTCCCTTGTGAAGAAACATTCAAATCCATCATATGAATCCATATATATGTCTATTCATATCTACATACAAACATGTATTTGTATGCATGCACACCCTCTCCTTTATAAGGCGAATTTTGTTACTTTTTTTTTCTTGTTACAATTTTCTTTGGGGTTGGCTCAAATTGGCTCCTTATCTCAAATCTCATTAAAGTGCCTGCCTTTGACCCTGGTTCTTGACATGGGTCCTACTTCTACAATAATAATATCATGCTTGAGCATAATATCTGTTTTGAACTCAACCAAGAACCTATGATGATACATCTTGACCAAAAATAAATAAATAATATCATAATTTGAGTTTGATCCTAATAAGTTGTCGCAAAATGTGGGAATGCACAAGTGTGGGTATGTTAATATTTGTCTTGAATCCAATTGACTAAGATCCTATGATAATAGTCGAACCAATCTTGCTTCTAATTTGTGCTGCATCTCCCAAAAAAGAAAAAGAAAACGAAAAAAAAGAGAGCCCATATTTTTTTTTTTTTTAAAGACAGAGCCCATATTACTCATTTAGAATTATGCTGCTTGGTTCAAACTCTTTCATTGAAGTTAATGTCTTGGAAAATTGCAGGGTTTGTTTGTGTCAGGGCATTCAACCGAAAGACAAGGGCACCTGCGCATTTGGCTCATAGATTTCACATTTCGACAGTAATTCCAAAAGGGAAGAGAAAATTCACAGAAGACCAGTAGGATGTTGTCGGAGAAACAAATAAGAGATTGATTGTCTGATGTCATTGTTCATATAATTGTACCTACAATGGTGGGTCAACATTCAGTATTTCAGTAATACCGTGTCATCATGTAATTGTTCATATATTTGTAAATACTATGACGTGTAAAAATTCAGTAATACCATGTCATTGCTAACGTGAGACATCACCATTCAATAATAAAACACAGAATGGGAATGACACGAGGGAGACTAGATTCTTTATTTAAATCTGCAACAAAGGGTGCTTCTTGTTATACAATGTTTATGTTTGTTTCATGGAGATGTGCATAGACGAAAGAAAGAATTGTCAACGTAATTTTTACCGACTTCAACATAAATATATTTGATTCCTTGATGTTTGTTTGTGTTTTTGCACATTCTTTCATATTTAGAGATAGAGATGTTTTAATTTAAACTTCTGATTTCCATTATCTAGAATTCACAAAGAATTATTGAGATAATGTTGTAGTTTACATTGCTTCAAAATTCAATTGCATTGGAAAACAAGAAGGGGTCAAGAAATTGAAGAATGCATGGCATCTATAAAAGAAACATTCCACCAATATGCCACATATATTATTATTTTGCTTAATTTTTTTTTTAAATTATTTAAATGTGAAACCCATATCATTAAAATAATAAAAATAAAATAATTTGAAATATTTTTTGGACTATGCCAAATGTGGCAGGCTCAAGACATGTCATTTATCAGTTCAATTTTATAGGTTCAAATGGAGCACCATTGCATTAAATTTCTACCACTAAACATGCTATCTCATATATAATCATTGAGTGGTGATATGCTGAAAGCTAGGTTTTTGTGTCTTTTTGTCTAAATTTTATGTTTGCGATTTATTAATCTACTCAAAAAAATAACTTCCATCAAATTTTGAACCGAAAATGTAACATCGGAAACTACATAGAATAATAAGACTGAAATTTTTTTACATTTTACCTCCCTTTAAGTTTCAATGTTTCCCAAATTTGGATTTAAATTTGTTTTTTCTTATACCTTGGCTTCTAGGATATGTAATTAATAGAAAATTTTGTGGAACATAAACTAAAAACCATTAAGGATTCAATTTTATACATGAAAAAGTGTATACGTACCTTGATCCGTGATAGCATGAAAACTTCTTTTGAGAAAAAGAAACCTTTAATAGAAGACCTTGATCTTTAAGGGTGTATTTGTTTTGATGGACTGGATAAGGAGGGATTGTAATCCATCAAGCTATTAGTCTTAGTATACATTATCCCTGGACTAATTGGTTGGACTGGATTTGTATCATACGTTTGTTTAGTCATGAGATTAGATATCTGGATTGGACTATTTTTAGTGAATTCAATGTTTGCTTGGGATATTATGGAGAAGGATCAATGCTCCAATGACTATTTTATCCTTTTCAATTATTTACTAAATAATAGCAAAATTAAACAAAGCTTTAATATTTTAATTATTTTTAGCTAGATTAAATAAAAATTTATTTTATTTTATTTTTTGCACAATTAAATAAATTTATTTTTTAAAATTTTAATTAAAAAATAACATATATTTATATTGATATTTTATTTATTTATAATAATTAAACAATGAAATTAAATAAAACATCTATTAACATTTAAATAATGAAATTAAATAAAATATAAACAAAATTTTAAAATAAAACATTAATAAAATATTTATAAAAAATTATTTTAACAAATTAAATAAATAAAACAAAAATAAAAATTAAATAAAATTATTTTATTTTTAAATTGAGACATTTAAATTTTATTAAATTTTACTAAATATAAAACATAACTAAATACCAGAGGGCAAAAATGTAATTTTATTAGCTAATCCCATGGGATCAGTTATCCCATGGTTTCTATCACCCCTCCCATGGGATACCATAGTCTCACAAATATGGGACTAATAGTCTGGAGCAAAACTTTTGAAACAAACAACAGACTATTAGTCTATCCGGACTAATAGTTCAATCTCATGCCCAATCCTTCCGAAACAAACACCCCCTACGTTCTTCATTTGTCTAAAATTTCCAAACCACTTCTCTCTCTCTAGATGATGGGAGTCTTCTTGTGGTGACAACTTGAGTTTTGTATTAGAGAGTGTGGTTTGGGACCTTACATTATTTATACTAGTATTCTTCTCATCAAATAATCCATTCATTCAATGAATTTCATTAAATAGATTAATGCATCTTTTACATTCATGATACATAATGCATTTTCTATATTAATGAACTCATTAGATGGATTAATGTATCTTCTACATTCATAATAGATATATAATACATCTCTAAGGTTCATTCATAATGAATCTATCACATTCAATGCATTGACACTATCTTCATTAGTCTTCTATACATTATGTATATATGGGTGCATTAATCAATGATTAGTCACCATCTAATTAATGTATATGTATCTTAATTAATGAGATGAATTTAGTATAATCATGTATAAGTCACATGTTAAGTCATATTTAGAAAAAATTCTTACAGTAATATCTTTCAATTTACTCAAAAAATCAACTTCTCTACAATTTTAAGATGCTAAACTCAAAATTCAAACCCAAACTCAAAATATAAACCCAAATTCCAATTAATCTCTCTCTCTCTCTCTCCCTCTCTCTCTCTCTCTCTATATATATATATATATATGTATATATATGCATATTTACCTCTAAATCTCTGCCCTTTAACTTCCACCTTCATCGCTCTTTTCTGCCTTTCATTTTAATGTCCCCCCTTTGCACGACAACCTTTTACAAACCCACTATGCTATCTCCGTAACATTACATAATTTTTTTAGTTTTAGGTTTAAATTATAAGATTTGGGTCTTAAAATTTTAATATATTGTATATTTATGTCATGCAACTACCAAATTGTTTTTTAATTTATCGTGATGTTGTCGTCGGCCAGAGATGTGCCTTTTTCGATTAAGATGTTACCGTTTTTCTTCCCATCAAGGAAACCTTTGTATGCTGCTAAGGTATGACAAATATGTAGGGCAATAGTTGAAGGGCAAAATCGTAATTCACACTCTAAGCAGATGGATTGATTTTTAAAGAGTGGTGCTCCTAGTATGCATGAATTATTTTGGACCTCTATTTCTTTGGGCATCACTTATAAATTTTGAAATCGTTAAAATTTATTTTCCTCTCTAAATAATATCAAAATTATTTTTATGAATATATTTTACCAATTGAATGCACATTTTCCACACCCCCACACCCCAAAAAAACTCATCTTCTAAAAAACCTTAACAAAACCTACAAAGAAGAAAAAGAGTCAATGTAATTACTATCTCTGCTATCTCACCCACCATTGTTACAGTTTATATGCTCTCTCTCTCTCTCTTTCTATATATATATATAAATATACATAATTTCTTAATTTTCTTGTAATAATTTCTTCTCTTACAGGGAAAAAATTATAATAATTGGTTTGGTTAGTTTTGTTGGTATATATTATAAAATTGTGAGTTCAACAGAGAACTACGCATTAATATTATCAAAGTTACGCGATGAAGGAATAACTTTTGAACTTGATAATGAAGTTAGACTACTTCCGATAACTTTTGCAAGTGTTAAAAATTTTGACCATTCAATGTGTTAAGAAATTTCATGTTTGGACCTGCATTCTCGAACATTACTTATTTGTTAGAGAACATTACTTATTTGTTCGGAAATGCCTTCTCGATCAAATAAGTAATGTTCGGGCCTGCATTCTCAAACTTGAAAAAATTAAAACTTCTGCCAGCGTAACAATTTTGATCATTCAATCTGTTAAGAAATTTCTATATATTCCCAAACATTACTTATTTGTTCGGGAATGCCTTTCCGAACAAATAAGTAATGTTCATGCTTGTATTCCTGAACTTGAAAAAATGAAAATTTCTGCAAACGTTAACAATTTTGACCGTTCAATGTGTTAAGAAATTTCTATGTTTGGACTTGCATTCCCGAACATTACTTATTTGTTCGGAATATTCCGAACAAATAAGTAATGTTCGGGCCTGTATTTCGCCAAAGGGTTGCCACTATTACCGCCGGAATATTGCCATTGCCGGAGAAGTGTAGGTAGTCAAATTGTTGCCACTATTACCTTCGGAGCATTGCTGCCAAAAGGTTTTCAAGATTTTGAGGATAGATAGGTTTTGAAGATGAGATTTGGGGAAGATGGAAGGGTGGTAATAGAGGTGAGTGCTCTCATAAATTCTAATTTATGATGTAATGGGTGTATAGATTTAATTGTGAAATGAGATATTCCAAAATTAATGATATCATTTTTAATATTTTTATTTGAGGTTATTTTTATAATAAAAAAATTAAAAATTTGAAAATCTAATATAATTTATAAGACTTTTTAAATCCCAAGTCCTATGAGAAAAACCTAAGCTGACTATCACCATAATTCCATAAGAAAAATAGTAAAAAGCTCATTTTCTTTTTTGTTTAGTAATTGCTATCGGAGCTTGGTGAAGAGCTTTTGAAAGCAAAATCAAGCTATGTAAGTATTTCTATCATTTTTAATATTTCTATCTATGGAGTGTTTTATGTTATATAAAAAAAAAAATTTATTAAAAATTCCGTCTAAGTTTTTTTGGGTATCCTCTATATTTTGTATCTTCATAATTATTTGTTTCATTTGTAATTGTTGTAAAACCTATATGCTTAGTGTATGTCAAAACCCATATACTCATTAAGATCTTTTAACTATTGGCCATAATTAAATCTTTAAGATCAGAAAGAGAGGTTTTAGGCACTAGATAATACACTAGGAAGGTCTTAGGTACTAACAACAATCTAAAATGACAATTAATTCTGACGATATAATATGCTTTGGAAATACAAAAAATAATGTTAATAATAAATACGATCATAGTTTGCATATTACTAAAGAGTCTGCAAATATAAATAATGTGTGTTCTAATTTAAATAATATTACTGATATTATGTGTTTTTGATTTTCCAAATTAGATAAAAATAAAAAAATAAATCAAAATTATCTAGAGACTAAAGTTGAGTCTATAGAATCTAAAATAGACAATTTGGGTTCTATAATAAATATTGACTTAAATAAAGAAGCAAAAAAATCAAATAAATAATTTGGTAACAAAATTAGAAACTATATCCTTCATAAACAATGATGGAATGAATAATTCAGGAGATAGTTACATCCCTAGGCCCAGTGAAAAAGGTAATGCTACCAAACAAGTCAATGTTGGCCCATCTCATTAGTAATTCAATCACACTCTAGAGTTAGCCAAACAAGCATGGTGGCCCGTCTCATTAGCAATTCAATCACATTCTAGAGTTAGCCAAACAAACATGACTTAAAGATTAAAGTCGTAAAAACATGAACATAAAGTAGGCACAATATATTTTGTTCAAAATTTTAATGTAACAATTTTACAACGAAATGTTATTTGTTTAAAATTAGATAGAAAAAGATATTGAAGCAAAATTAGAGAAAAATAGAAAAATTAAGATAAAGTTTTTTTTTAAAAGACCAAAATCAGACAATTATAAAACTTAATGGTGTATAAAAAGGCCTAAAAGTGAACATATAGTTGTCGTTATTAGATCAATTTGATTTTTTATAAGGATAATATACTCAATGAATATTAAAATGTGAATGACTCATATACTCAAAACAAGATCTAAAAGTGAGCCCAATAGGGCGAATTGGACCATCTAGTCCAATAGTGCACTGGAGACAAAAAGACCAAAACCCAATTTGAGATAAGTTTCTCTCAATACCTTACCTTTTTATAATCTTTTTATGGGTTTTAATTCAGGTTTACATTGATAATCTAAATCTTTTATCATATAGTCCCCGCAAATGAAGGTCATTCATATAAAAAATTAGCTTTATCGAACAATTATAAATATGGAAACAAATTACATTTTATTTTATAAAATAGATGATTTAAATTTAATTATATTTATCATTTATTTTATATAATAAAATATGATTTATTTTTATATTTATAATTTTCTGATAAAATTATTTTTTTACATAGATAACTTTTAATCTATTTTAATACAAATTCGAATTGAAACCTAAAAAAATAAAATAAAATAATAATAGAAGGTACGAATACATGAGTTATGGATCAAATTCGCGCATCAATTTTTGAAAAGTAGGGCGATTCATTAGGCCATTTCCCTAAATAAGTCAAATTATCAATTCAATTCTCAAACTAAGCCTAGTTTTGAAAGAATTCTCAAAATAGGTTAAAACGTGATTCACAACCACGCTTTCAACGTCTGTGTACCTGTCCCGCGTGAAAATTTGGAAGTCTTAAAAGCGTGGTTACGCGCTTTTAATTAATAAAGTGCGGTTACATAGTCGATCAACATTATTAGGATCTTCCTTTTGGATCTCAACAGAACGTGCTTTTGGCACCTTCAGTCGATTTTCCCGACATAATCTTTCCATTTGCACTCGCTCTATAAATAGTGCGGGCCACTTGAAAAGTCTAGCGTCTGCTAAACCATATCCTGTTTGATTATCTGATGGATCCATACATGAACCTCCTTGAACTGGATAATACTTGGGCATAAAAAAATGGCGCTTTCCAAACCTATCACGATAACCACAAGCATAATCTAAAATAGGTATTCCCACTTCTTCCCATGAATCGTCTTCAGCATCACCACGTCCCCTTCCCCCTCCTCGTCGTGAACTGTCACCCCTTTGCAAGTTCCTACCACCTCTGCGATTCTCACTCCCTTCCATGAACCATGTAGCCATGCTAATTTTTTTAAAACAAATGAATGACAATTTTGTAGGGCGAAATAAGTTGTAAGGTTGTGTCTTCACTTTTAGTCGTTTATATAGTTGGTTATGAACAGCTTTAGAAAGATGCCCCTGCATGACAATCCCACATATACGAACAAGGTATGAGTTGTCACTTGAATGAAAAAACAAAGAAAAGAAAATACTGTGTACCAAGTCACGTGACTTGACAATCCATCAACATGTACCGACAAAGTAAGGGCATGCTCACTGTAAGGTAAATAAGTTAATTCACTGTTGGCATGTGACTTTTTGAATTGAGAATCACTGTAATAAAAAAATCGAGCAAAAAATCGAGAAAACCAAAGCCTGTGCACCAAGTCACATGACTTGACAATCCATCTGCATATACCGAGAAAATAAGGGCATGCTCACTGTAAGGTAAATCAGTGAATTCACTGTTGCCATGTGACTTTCTGAATTGAGAATCCCACATATATTAATAAGAAATGAGTTGTCACTGTAATAAAAAAATCGAGCAAAAATTCGAGAAAACCAAAGCATGTGCACCAAGTCACATGATTTGACAATCCATCTGCATATACGGACAAAATAATGGCATGCTCATTGTAAGATAAATCAGTGAATTCACTGTTGCCATGTGACTTTCTGAATTGAGACTGTAATAAAAAAATGAAGCTTATGTAGACAATGTTGTGTTTCACTTAGCTATGCATCATTCGTTGTTACGACCAAACGTTCGTGTATTTCATTGAAAAGTATGACTATTTGAATTATTTGTTGTCATTTGGGTACAAGTCAAGTTTCTTACATTTTTGGCCTTGCATTGATTGATATTCTATACTAAGAGAATCGTCAATTTCTTGAAAAAAGTGCAGAAAACAATCTGTTTGTGTATAATTAATTGTAAATAGTGATTTTGACAAGCAAATCAAATAAAACCAATTGGGTTTTAAATTTAGTTCCCTAACTAGACCAACCACTTAGCTTTGAGCTTGTTTGTCCAGCCCCCTAAGTTTAGTTATCTGTCAACCCCCCATTCCTTACCAGAGTCATCATTTTGACTGGACTTCCAGGAATTGGAAGACGACTCTTTCTTCTTTTCTGATGGAGATTGAAATTCTTTACGTACAGGATCCCTATTTCACGAGCCCCAGTTAAGGAAAGCTTTTCACCGAGCTACCTGTTTTGTTTTATGTGTTGTTGAAGGTGCTAGTTCGTTTGTATGAACTTTATTAGTCCCTCAACTGGACTAACCACTTGGCTTTGAACTTGTTTATCCAGCCCCCCAAGTTTAGTTATCTGTCAATCCCCCATTCCTTACCAGAGTCATCATTTTAACTGGACTTCCAGGAATTAGAAGGCGACTCTTTCTTCTTTTCTGATGGACATTGACATTCTTTACGTACATGATCCCTATTTCACGAGCCCCAGTTAAGGGAAGCTTTTCACTGAGCTACCTGTTTTGTTTTATGTGTTGTTGAAGGCGCTAGTTCGTTTGTATGAACTTTATTAGTCCCCCAACTGGACCAACCACTTGGCTTTGAGCTTGTTTGTCCGACCCCCAAAGTTTAGTTATCTGTCAACCCCTCATTCCTTACCAGAGTCATCATTTTGACTGGACTTCCAGGAATTAAAAGGCGACTCTTTCTTCTTTCCTAATGGAGATTGACATTCTTTACGTACAGGATCCCTATTTCACGAGCCCCAATTAAGGGAAGCTTTTCACCGAGCTACCTGTTCTGTTTTATGTGTTTTAAGTATTCACATAATTCAACATACATTAATCCATTCATTAATCCAGAACATTCTTTAACTTATTGCAATTCAATAAAGAAAGTCATGAACTAATAAATGTGCAGTTATAAATGTAGTTATTTCATAAACTTCAGGTTCATAAAACAAATACTTGAAATACATCCGTACGTTAGATGAACAACAACATTGTCTTACACTACAATAACGAAGATATGAGACAACATACAAACATATATGAAAGATAAAGGTGTTTGATTTCTTATTCCTCATCTGACATGTAGTAGTCAGAGAGATATTTTTCATTGTTTAAGACATTATTTTACTCAATCACTGTCAAATCTCTATTGCTTACTTCTGCCATTTCGGTGGCAAGCTTAAGCATGAAATGTCGACATCTCCGCATCAACATTCTATTGTTCTCCTTCTTTATTTTGCTAATTGCTTTTTCATAGTCACTCACATTTCGTCTAGCCATGGTCAATGAACGGCGATGAGGTACCGGTGCCCCAAAGTTACGTAGATCATTAAACAATCCTTCTTGCTCCGTTACCCTGAACGCCCATTCTGCTCCGATACCAGCATAATAATCCTTCGGACTTGAGTACTTTTCGCTCTTGTAGTCATAAGTAAATGGAGGTAGCAGCCACATTGTCGGATTTCTTTGCCGGTGAGAACTTTCTGCACCTCTTGAAGACATTGTTCATAAAACAAACAAACAAATAATAATAGTAAGTGTAGATATATTACTATTGTTATGACTTGAACAAACATCATACTGGCGGTGTCGCTATTTATAGACATCATACTGAGGGTTAACTAGAGATGATTTAGTGACGATAATGCATGCTGGGGCACTATGGAAGAAGTGATACCCGTGATATTATTTTATGTTATTCATTTCATGCAATCCTGAGTACCCGTGACTTTGTGTACTTGTGATGTAGTCACGGATGTGGTTGTCAGATAAAATCATAATTGTAGGCCAGAGGATGACAATGCAATCCCTTCATATTCGAGCAGTGAGTTGTCAAATAAAACAACATGCAGTGAGCTGTCACATCGCCACATGAAACTATTTTTTCATGCTTACTTTTTTAATACAGTAAGTAGTCACTTGGAATTGACGATTTCAGTACAAATTGGTGTTTTCAAAAAATTATAAATGAAATTAAATGCTTAAATTTTCTTTGTTTTAAAGTAATATTCTTCATAAACAACTATGAAACAAAGTGCAAGTAAATACACAATCGTTGTTTTTTTCACCGAAATAATAAAATGATCACCTGATATGTAAACACGATTGGAACTTTGCAGCCTATATTTTATCTTATTTTTACTTAATGAACTTCACAGTCATCCCATTTTCTCCTCTTTGCATTTTCTACTTCTTTTTATATTCGGTAAATTACACTTTACTCCTTCAGTCCATTACATAATTGTTTATCAACACTATTGCCATGTGGTCGTATTGATGTGACTTAGATGAATTCTGAAATGTGAGAACTGCATCATGTGTACTCATGATCGCGGTCGAACTGTCTGGTGGTGGTAACTGGGTGGGTGGGGTAACAACGTCATGCATGTATCGGGGCGGTGTCCAATCAAGGTCAGGCATATAAGGTATGCCAGATATGTATGGGGTAGTATGTGGTGGGGTGACTGAAGTCGAAGGAGCTGATGTGGCAGGCGCTGAAGTGGAAGGCGCTGACGTGGACGGTGCTGATGTGTCTGGAACAGCTGCTGAACTGTGTACACCGTAGTGGCCGTAATGCAGACGATCTCCCCGATGGGCAACCTGGAATGCCTGGTACAATAACTCTCGGATCTCTGTAACGGCCTGCAAGGCATGCTGCCCATCACGTCTGAAATGGGCGTCCTCAGCCAAATGATACGACCTCCTAGCTCTAGCCACCTGAACAAACATTCAAACGTATTATTAGGCTACAGTTGACTGAAAGTAAATCAAGTATGATTTTAATAATTATTTGACACATAATATGATGCTCACCAATGCCTCAAGATAAGGCCTAACTCCCTGATATCCAGACTCAGACACGTGGCTCGAATTCCCGATTAGTTGGTGTGTATGTCGCCGATACCACAACATATAGGGGTCGGAAGAGGGGATCACCTCATCGCTGTAGTCAGCCTGTACAATACTGTCCCGGCGGGCATCCCACAACTGTATATATCGCATAAAAAACAGACGCCAGTCAGTGCCAGCTCGGCCACGCCTATCAGTGACATGCAACTGCCACTTAGTGTCGAACCGATCCGGCACGGACTGCACCCGACCAAACTGTCGGAGGACACGATGGGGGAGATACCACTCAACTACGTCAAAACAAATAAGTGGCACTCTCGCCATCCATATCTCCTGACCCAGTCGGCAGTAGTCGGGGAGCGTACCGAGGACCCCAGCGTAAGGCTGCCAGATAAACTACAATGACGACAAATAAAGTAAGCCCTGTGCCAAATCCACAAGCTTGGTGGTGTATTTATTCAATTGATAGTAAAGAAATTCTCAAGGAGGTTCCTTGGGGAGTGGACGTAGGCCTGGCGTGCCGAACCACTATAAATCGCAGTGTTTGATTTTCTCTCTCTATCTCTTCTACTTTTATATTGATAATTATTATTCTGTTTGTTTTTATTTATTCAAATTCTGAATATTGTGTTATATTTAATATTGTGAAATTTTTAATAACCCAATTCACCCCCCTCTTGGGTTGCCTAACTGGGATAACAATATTGAAGCAAAATTAGAGAAAAATAGAAAAATTAAGATAAAGTTTTTTTTTAAAAGACCAAAATGAGACAATTATAAAACTTAATGGTGTATAAAAAGGGCCCAAAAGTGAACATATAGTTGTCGTTATTAGATCAATTTGATTTTTTATAAGGATAATATACTCAATGAATATTAAAATGTGAATGACTCATATACTCAAAACAAGATCTAAAAGTGAGCCCAATAGGGCGAATTGGACCATCTAGTCCAATAGTGCACTGGAGACAAAAAGACCAAAACCCAATTTGAGATAAGTTTCTCTCAATACCTTACCTTTTTATAATCTTTTTATGGGTTTTAATTCAGGTTTACATTGATAATCTAAATCTTTTATCATATAGTCCCCGCAAATGAAGGTCATTCATATAAAAAATTAGCTTTATCGAACAATTATAAATATGGAAACAAATTACATTTTATTTTATAAAATAGATGATTTAAATTTAATTATATTTATCATTTATTTTATATAATAAAATATGATTTATTTTTATATTTATAATTTTTTGATAAAATTATTTTTTTACATAGATAACTTTTAATCTATTTTAATACAAATTCGAATTGAAACCTAAAAAAATAAAATAAAATAATAATAGAAGGTACGAATACATGAGGTATGGATCAAATTGGCGCATCAATTTTTGAAAAGTAGGGTGATTCATTGGGCCATTTCCCTAAATAAGTCAAATTATCAATTCAATTCTCAAACTAAGCCTAGTTTTGAAAGAATTCTCAAAATAGGCTAAAATGTGGTTTACAACAACGCTTTCAATGTCTGTGTACTTGTCCCGCGTGAAAATTGGGAAGTCTTAAAAGCGTAGTTACAAAACGCGCTTTTAATTAATAAAGCGCGGTTACAAAAGGCGCTTTTAATTAAATTTTTTTTTCTGAAATCGTTGTTCTAAACCACGCTTGTAACTCTTTTTTTTTTTTCTTTTGAAAGCACGGTTGTGAACCACGCTTTTAATCAAAAAAAAATTTCTTTTGAAATCGTTGTTATGAACCACGCTTTTAGCTTAAATTTTTTTCTTCTAAAAACGTGGTTATGAACCACGTTTTTTGGCAAAAATTTTTTTCTTGTGAAAGCGTGTTTGTGAACCACGCTTTTTACATAAATACACCAATTATTTAGTTTCAGTTTAACTGAACTCGGAAGAAGAAAAAAAAATTTTTTGGTTTTTTTTTTTTGGTTTTTTTTTTGGTTTTTTTTTTTGTTTCTGTTGTCATTGTTTTGGTGATAATGTATTTCAAAATAATTTTTTGGGTTAAAATTGTTTTACTGAAACCGTTCTCATGTTAATTTTTTTTTTCTTTTCTTTTGTCTTTATTTTGGGTTAGAATGTGTAATTCAGAAAAAATTTTTTTGGCTTTACTAAAGTAAATTTATTTTGTTTTTTCTTGTGTTTGTTTTGGGTTAGAAGGTCATAATGTAATTCATAAATTTTTTGAGTTTTAGTAAAGCCGTTTTGATGTAATTTTTTTTTTTATTTTTTTTTATTTTTGTTTTGGGTTAGAAGGTGTTATTCAGTAATTTGTTTGGGCTTTAATAAAACCGTTTTCATTTAAATATATATATTTTTTCTTTTGTCTTTGTTTTGGGTTAGAAGGTGATAATGTAATTCAAAAATTTCTTTTCGCTTTACTAAAGCCGTTTTCATGTAAAGTTTTTTATTTTTTATTTTTTTTCTCTTATCTTTGTTTTGGGTTAGAATGTGTTATTCAGAAATTTATTTTGGCTTTACTAAGCCATTTTCATTTAAATAATTTTTTTTTCTGTTGTCTTTATTTTTGGTTAGAAGGTGATAATGTAATTCAGAAAACCTTGAGGAAAAAACACATAAGTCTCCCACAAAAATACATAGGTAGTACAGACATAAGTCTCCGACAACAATACATTCTGGACACCATGAACTGAACACACAATACATACATAAACATAACAGTTAGACAGACAAATATTAGCCAGACAATCTGACAAACTCATTACGGAAACACTTAATCTAACACAGACATTGCATATTAATGCATGACCTAATATAGCCGAAGTGTAGACATTAACACCTAATTCGCGCTTAAATCGGTAGGTGGTTCAGAGTCTGAATAATCCGAAAGCTCAGCGTCAGAGACAAGCTTAGGATCCTCCATGATACCCTTGATAGCCGCAACATTTAGTTCTGTTCTGTTCTTCTGGGCATCCTTCTTAACTGTGTATAGCTGCATATCGTGGGCTAACCTATAGCACATTTGAGAAATCTCACGTTGTAGTCTTTCACATAGTCGATCAACATTATCAGGATCTTCCTTTTGGATCTCAACAGAACGTGCTTTTGGCACCTTCAGTCGATTTTCCCGACATAATCTTTCCATTTGCACTCGCTCTATAAATAGTGTGGGCCACTTCAGAAGTCTAGCGTCTGCTAAACCATATCCTGTTTGATTATCTGATGGATCCATACATGAACCTCCTTGAACTGGATAATACTTGGGCATCAAAAAATGTCGCTTCCCAAACCTATCACGATAACCACAAGCATAATCTAAAATAGGTATTCCCACTCCGTCCCATGAATCGTCTTCAGCATCGCCACGTCCCCTTCCCCCTCCTTGTCGTGAACTGTCACCCCTTTGCAAGTTCTTACCACCTCTGCGATTCTCACTCCCTTCCATGAACCATGTAGCCATGCTAATTTTTTAAAACAAATGAATGATAATTTCGTAGGGTGAAATGAGTTGTAAGGTTGTGTCTTCACCTTTAGTCGTTTATATAGTTGGTTATGAACAGCTTTAGAAAGATGTCCCTGCATGACAATTCCACATATACGAACAAGGTATGAGTTGTCACTTGAATGAAAAAATAGAGAAAAGCAAATACTGTGTACCAAGTCACATGACTTGACAATCCATCTACATATACCGACAAAGTAAGGGCATGCTCACTGTAAGGTAAATAAGTTAATTCACTGTTGGCATGTGACTTTCTGAATTGAGAATCACTGTAATAAAAAAATCGAGCAAAAAATCGATAAAACCAAAGCCTGTACACCAAGTCACATGACTTGACAATCCATCTGCATATACCAACAAAATAAGGGCATGCTCATTGTAAGATAAATCAGTGAATTCACTGTTGCCATGTGACTTTATGAATTGAGAATTCCACATATATCAATAAGAGATGAGTTGTCATTGTAATAAAAAAATCGAGCAAAAAATCGAGAAAACCAAAGCCTGTACACCAAGTCACATGACTTGACAATCCATCTGCATATACCGAGAAAATAAGGGCATGCTCACTGTAAGGTAAATCAGTGAATTCACTGTTGCCATGTGACTTTCGGAATTGAGAATCCCATATATATTAATAAGAAATGAGTTGTCACTGTAATAAAAAAATCGAGAAAACCAAAGCATGTGCACCAAGTCACATGACTTGAGAATCCATCTGCATATACCGAGAAAATAAGGGCATGCTCACTGTAAGGTAAATCAGTGAATTCACTGTTGCCATGTGACTTTCGGAATTGAGAATCCCATATATATTAATAAGAAATGAGTTGTCACTGTAATAAAAAAATCGAGAAAACCAAAGCATGTGCACCAAGTCACATGACTTGAGAATCCATCTGCATATACCGAGAAAATAAGGGCATGCTCACTGTAAGGTAAATCAGTGAATTCACTGTTGCCATGTGACTTTCTGAATTGAGACTGTAATAAAAAATGAAACTTATGTAGACAATATTGTGTTTCACTTAGCTATGCATCATTCGTTGTTACGACCAAACGTTCGTGTGTTTCATTGAAAAGTATGACTATTTGAATTATTTGTTGTCATTTGGGTACAAGTCAAGTTTTTTACATTTTTGGCCTTGCGTTGATTGCTATTCTATACTAAGAGAATCGTCAATTTCTTGAAAAAGGCGCAGAAAACAATCTGTTTGTGTATAATTAATTGTAAATAATGATTTTGACAAGCAAATCAAGTAAAACCAATTGGGTTTTAAATTTAGTTCCCCAACTGGACCAACTACTTGGCTTTGAGCTTGTTTGTCCAGCCCCCCAAGTTTAGTTATCTGTCAACCCCTCATTCCTTACCAGAGTCATCATTTTGACTGAACTTCCAGGAATTGGAAGGCGGCTCTTTCTTCTTTTTTGATGGAGATTGAAATTCTTTACGTATAGGATCCCTATTTCACGAGCCCTAGTTAAGGGAAGCTTTTCACCGAGCTACCTATTTTGTTTTATGTGTTGTTGAAGGCGCTGGTTCGTTTGTATGAACTTTATTAGTCCCCCAACTGGACCAACCACTTGGCTTTGAGCTTGTTTGTCCAGTCCCCCAAGTTTAGTTATCTGTCAACCCCCCATTCCTTACCAGAGTCATCATTTTGACTGGACTTCCAAGAATTGGAAGGCGACTCTTTCTTATTTTCTGATGGAGATTGACATTCTTTACGTACATGATCCCTATTTCACGAGCCCCAATTAAGGGAAGCTTTTCACCAAGCTACCTGTTCCGTTTTATGTGTTTTAAGTATTCACATAATTCAACATACATTAATCCATTAATCCAGAACATTCATTAACTCATTGCAATTCAATAAAGAAAGTCATGAACTAATAAATGTGCAGTTATAAATGTAGTTATTTCATAAATTTCAGGTTCATAAAACAAATACTTGAAATACATCCGTACGTTAAATGAACAACAACATTGTCTTACACTCCACTAACGAAGATATGAGACAACATACAAACATATATGAAAGATAAAGGTGTTTAATTTCTCATTCCTCATCTGACATGTAGTAGTCAGAGAGATATTTTTCATTGTTTAGGATATTATTTCGCTCAATCATTGTCAAATCTCTGTTGCTTGCTTCTGCCATTTCGGTGGCTAGCTGAAGCATGAAATGTCGACATCTCCGTATCAACATTCTGTTGTTCTCCTTCTTTATTCTGTTAACTGCTTTTTCATAGTCACTCACATTTCGTCTAGCCATGGTCAATGAACGACGATGAGGTACCGGTGCCCCAAAGTTACGTAGATCATTAAACAATCCTTCTTGCTCCGTTACCCTGAACGCCTATTCTGCTCGGATACCAGCATAATAATCCTTCGGACTCGAGTACTTTTCGCTCTTGTAGTCATAAGTAAATGGAGGTAGCAGCCACACTTTCGGATTTCTTTGCCGGCGTGAACTTCCTGCACCTCTTGAAGACATTGTTCATAAAATAAACAAACAAATAATAATAGTAATTGTAGATATATTACTATTGTTATGACTTGAACAAACATCATATTGGGGGTGTCGCTATTTATAGACATCATACTGAGGGTTAACTAGAGATGATCTAGTGACGATAATGCATGCTGGGCCCTATGGAAGAAGTGATACCCGTGATATTATTTTATGTTATTCATTTCATGCAATCCTGAGTACCCCTGACTTTGTGTACCTGTGATGTAGTCACGGACATGGTTGTCAGATAAAATCATAATTGTAGGCCAGAGGATGACAATGCAATCTCTTCATATTCAAGCAGTGAGTTGTCAAATAAAACAACATACAGTGAGCTGTCACATCGCCACATGAAACTATTTTTTCATGCTTACTTTTTTAATACAGTAAGTAGTCACTTGGAATTGACGATTTCAATACAAATTGGTGTTTTCAAAAAATTATAAATGAAATTAAATGCTTAAATTTTCTTTGTTTTAAAGTAATATTCTTCATAAACAACTATGAAACAGAGTGCAAGTAAATACACAACCGTCCAACTCACTTCGACCTGCAAAACTATCGTTGTTTTTTTCACCGAAATAATAAAATGGTCATTTAATATGTAAACACGATTGGAACTTTGCAGCCTATATTTTATCTTATTTTCACTTAATGAACTTCACAGTCATCCCATTTTCTCCTCTTTGCATTTTCTGCTTCTTTTTATATTCGGTAAATTACACTTTACTCCTTCAGTCCATCACATAATTGTTTATCAACACTATTGCCATGTGGTCGTATTGATGTGACTTAGATGAATTTTGAAATGTGAGAACTGCATCATGTGTACTCATGGTCGCGGTCGAACTGTCTGGTGGTGGTAACTAGGTGGATGGGGTAATAATATCATGCATGTATCGGGGTGGTGTCCAATCAGGGTCAAGCACATAAGGTATGCCAGATATGTATGGGGTAGTATTTGGTGGGGTGACTGAAGTCGAAGGGGCTGATGTGGTAGGCGTTGACGTGGACGACGCTGATGTGTCTGGAGCAGCTGCTGAACTGTGTACACCGTAGTGGCCGTAATGCAGACGATCTCCCCGATGGGCAACCTGGAATGCCTGGTACAATAACTCTCGGATCTCTGTAACGGCCTGCAAGGCATGCTGTCCATTACGTCTGAAATGGGCGTCCTTAGCCAAATGATACGACCTCCCAGCTCCAGCCACCTGAACAAACATTCAGACGTATTATTAGGCTACAGTTGACTGAAAGTAAATCAAGTATGATTTTAATAATTATCTGACACATAATATGATACTCACCAATGCCTCAAGATAAGGCCCAACTCCCTGATATCCAAACTCAGACACGTGGCTCGGATTCCCGACTAGTAGGTGTGTATGTTGCCGATACCACAACATATAAGGGTCGGAAGAGGGGATCACCTCATTGTTGTAGTCAGCTTGTACAATACTGTCCCGACGGGTATGCCACAACTATATATATGGCATATAAAACAGATTCCAGTCAGTACCAGCTCGGCCACGCCTATCAGTGACGTGCAATTGCCACTCAGTGTCGAACCGATCTGGCACGGACTGGACCCGACCAAACTGTCGGAGGACACGATGGGGGAGATGCCACTCAACCACGTCAAAACAAATAAGTGGCACTCTCGCCATCCATATCTCCTGACCCAATCGGCAGTAGTCGGGGAGCGTACTGAGGACCCCAGCGTAAGGTTGCCAGATAAACTACAATGACGACAAATAAATTAAATTTTGCTCGTGAACTCAAAACATATACAATGAAGAAGAAAACTAAAATGCAATTAAAAAAATTTCATACCTCGCCCTCGATCATCCGGTCCAACTGGTCTCTATAAACTACCACTACGTGGGTCGAGACGACCTCGTGGCCCATATCAACCCTCCACCGGCAACCTCGCGGTCCGGGGGGCAACTGCATGTCCCCCTCACCCATAGGAAGCTCACCAGGACCAATCAGTTGCTGCCTAGATGGGGCAATGCGAATCAATCTCTCCCATGCCCAAATCTGCAATAGTTTGAACACAATTACAATACTGATATATGGCATACAATATGAATTGACATGTAATAAAATTCTTACTAACCTGTAGCAACATAAGTGGTCCTCCAATCTCCCTCGTACCCACCTAAGCTGATCGACATAGCATCCTATACAATCATGCCAGAGCCGCGCTACCTCAGCTGTACTGCCCATTCTCGTTAATGTCTCTCAGCAGTGACAAGTACATAACAAAAAAATTATCGACCTGAACCGAGTCAAACTTGAGTTTCATTAATATTAATGAGCTCTCATTATGTGTTAAAAATTAGGTATGCTCCTTTTAGGTCTCAAGTTGAACTCTCAGTATGTGTCATGTTTATAGGTATTAATTGAGATTTGTCGGATCTACGTGGAAGGGACGTTTGGTGTGGATTGTAAGATTAGTCCATAAATACGTAAACTGATTCAGACATTCGACTATCATAAAAAGTTAAAACTTAATTGAATAAACATAATGCAGGCGCATAGAGAATAAGTCAATTGGATAATTCAAGTGGGTAAAAATTATCGAGAATGAGTCATTTTATAAATCAAATATTTTAATTTTTTCAAACATAATTTTTAAACAATTTTTTTTTTATTTATATCAAATGTTTTGATAATAGCATTTTCCAGGACGACTTCAAAGGCCTCTTTTGGCAAAGAGGTAAAAAGGCATTTTCAGTATTTTTTTACACGTTTTTCCAAAAAAAAAATTTAAAAAATACAAAAAATTAGCTTTTAACTTATTTCCTAAAACAACCCAAAAAATTGTTTGTACTAGTTATAGTGGCCTAATGATGAAGCTGAAGAGATAAACGAGAGAATAACAAGATTTAACCATATCGACAGGACTAAGAAGCAATCAGAAATTAAATTTTCAATTAAAAAAATATAGACATGATTCACAATTCAAAATTCAAAAACCTAATTTGTAAAAAAATAGATAAGATTCACAGTTCACAATGCAATAAATATATACAGGATTCACAATTCAAAACCCAAATTCCTGAAACCATAACCCTAATTTCTGATTTTACAATTGAAAACCCTATAAAATATATTTGTAATTCACAATCAGTAGAACGTCGTCGATGACCATCTTGGGTTTCACTCAGACTATTCGCGGCGAAGGACACGGCCACCCTCTCACAATTGAAAATTTTCTCCCCATTTCCCTTAAATTTTCTCCTCATTTTCTTTTGGCTGAACTTGCTTTTCTTTTATGCCAAACATCCCCTTATACTTTCCATAATAGAGAAAGAAAAAATGATATAATGATCAGTTGGATCTATGGACTCGGGATAATTAATACTAGACTAACCATGACAACTTTAAACATAGTTCCTTGTAATTCAATTTTGTATGACACTGATATATATTATATGATTCTATTTTTATTTTTTTTTAATATATCGAAAATATTGTTAAGCTGTGCTTAATTTATTGGAATGAAAATAAAAGGGAATGTCCTGATTATTCCTTAAATATGTTTTGATTAAAAAGAAAAATTTGTGGAAAGTGAAAGTGAAAGAAAAAAAAAATAATTTGGAAATTTTGAAAGAAAGGGATAGAAAATTTTGAAATTTTAATTATAGATAATTTTTATATAGACAAAATTAGATTTTCTTTTGTTCTGCCATGTTTTTTTCCAAGAAATTATAAAGTTAGTTACAATAATAATATGCAAGAAAATTATTATTATTATAGATAATTATTTGTTCCTAAAAATTATTTGTTCCTAAAAAAAAATCATATAACATTATTAAAAAAATTTCACTTATCATAAATTTCTTAAACCCTAATTTCTGAAACCATAACCCTCATTTCTGATTTCACAATTTAAAACCCTAACCCTAATTGAAAAATGATTTCACATTCATCAATTCAAAACCCTAATTCAAAACCAAAACTCTCATTTCTGATTTTACATTCAATAGAAAACCATAACTCTCATTTTCTTATTTCAAACATAATATTTAAATTTTTCTAAACAGATTCAACATTCAACAGATTTCACATTCAATAGATGTCACATTGAACAGAAATTTAATTTCACATTCAATAGAAATTTGATTTCACATTCAACAGATTTCACAATTATAAACAGATTTCACAAATTTTTAAACAGATTTCACAATTCAAAACCCTAATTTCTCAAACTGTAATCGTAATTTCTGATTTCACAATTATAAACCCTAACCCTAATTTATTATTTCTAATTTCACAACATTTTCACATTCATGAACCCTATTCTACCAACATTATACCCACATTCATGAATCCTATTCTACCAACATTATACCCACATTCACATTTTCATAAATACAAAAAATGCATTAAAGTAGATCAACAGAGAGAGACATAAGCCATACCAACGAGAGAGAGCACAGAGAGCGACAGTACTGAAGCAAAGGGAGCTCGAGCACAGCGACAGAGACAGAGCAGTAAGAGCGAGAGAGAGAGAGAGTAGTAAGAGTGAGAGAGAGAGAGCAGGGAGCGAGAGAGAGAGAGCAGGCAGCGAGAGTGAAAGGTGTTAAGTGTAACAAGCGTGATTGCAAAAGACGGGACTGGGGAGATTTTATATAAGTTTTAAAAGCGTGGTTACAAACCACGCTTTCACATAAAGAAAAAAAATCGTATAAAAAGCGTGGTTCACAAACACGCTTTTAGAAGAAATTTTTTTTTGCTAAAAAGCGTGGTTCATAACCACGTTTTCAGAAGAAAAAAAATTTAAGTTAAAAGCGTTGTTCGTAACCACGATTTCAGAAGAATTTTTTTTTAGTTAAAAGCATGGTTCACAACCGCGCTTTCAGAACAAAAAAATTGTAAGTTAAAAGCGTGGTTCAGAATAGCGATTTCAGAAGAAATTTTTTTTAATTAAAAACGCCTTTCGTAACCGCACAATTTTGAACCACGTTTTAGTATATTTTGAAAAATCTTTCAAAACTGACTTAATTTGGAAATTGAGTTGATAATTTAACTTATTTAGGGAAATGGCCCCGATTCATTTTCCTCCCGGGGGGAAAAAAACAGAAAACATACGAGAGAGAGAGAGAGAGAGAGAGATTTCGGACCTTGAAATCCAGAAGACCCTCCACCTGATTTCCAATGCTTATTCTTGAGGCAAGTCAGGTATTAATGACTTTTCTTCGTTTGATTTGCAAGTAGATTGCATTTTTTTTGGTCAATTGTTGGCACTGTGGATGAGTAGAAATTATCTAGGACTCATTATGCAATAAAAAATGCTGGTGTTATTCTTAATTTACAAACCCAAAAATCCATAAAATCTGCAAAACTTGTTAGTATGTTCACACAAAAAATTATGTTAAAAAATTCCATCACTTCATTCACAATCTTGTTATCTAGCCAAATTAACCTAGAATTCCGTGAATGTTTGTTGATTTATTAGACCCAAATGAGTAGGTTAACAGGTTTGTTAAAAACATGGGTGGGTCTGAGTTGTGTTTGGTGCAAACTGTTGGTGCCTAATAAAGCATGGACAGTTCGCTAAGGGAATATACTTGTAAAAAATGGGCATGTTATTATGTGTCCATTATTTTTAGTTTTTTTAGTCTTTTTTCTCCTATGCACCTCACCGACACCTTCCTTTTTTTTTCGGCACTTCACAAACTTGGTTGTGGCCAAAGATTAAATAGAAAGAAAGAAATTTGCATTCGACCTATTGGAACCCTAAATATGTGAGGAAAAAGAAAAATAATTTGGCTAGGGTTATCTACTAATTGAGAAGCACATACACTTCTAACAAGGTTGGGTGTCTGTGTCTGACACTGATAGTTCTCAGACATTTCCCGACACGTGTTAGATACTGGTCCAAACATGTCTTATTATTTTTTTCTTATTTTTTTTGAGACATGGATGTGCTTTGGTTACTTGGGGGGACACATTTGTCCATTGTTTATTCACATGAAATTAATTTTAAGTTTGAACAAAATACAATAATAAAAAATAATGTAGATTTATAGGAATTAGCATTTTGTTGTATTTTTCTTATTATCTTTGAATGATGATACTGAATAATAGCGGATATAGTTTATCTAACCAAGCAATAGCTTGTAGCCTTGTACATCACTACAACTTGTACCAAAAGTCGTCCACTGCCGGCCTCCTACATGTTGAAGCCCAGGTCAAGGTTTAACCCAGGAATTTTGAATCTTTAGTTCGCACAGATTTCAGGCTTTTTAGGCTGCATTTGGGACTCAATATTCTAATAAACTTGTTTATAACCTAAAGGCATTTAATTATGGGTTTGGTTTTATTTAGTTATTTTTATCTATGGTGGGATTGGAAACAAGGAAAGGAAATTAGTTGGGAGTTTTGACAAATATTCTTTCATTGAAGTAACTTGTGCTGGCACCCTCCTAAGGAAGCCTTTGTATCTTTAGGGCAGCCAGGTAATATTTCATTGCCTTCTAACTCGTACAACAATATTTTCGAAGTGTTTGTGCTTCATAAGAACTGATGCCAAAGTCAGAGTCAAAAGGCTTCCTACTCAGCTATCTGATTCCATGCCAGACATAATTATGTCAATCTACTTGCTGAATCCATTAACAACTTTACTAAGAAAAGATTTTGAGAGTTTATACTTGGTTTATAAATTCTTCTTCTTGGCAACTAATTCTGCTAGTCACTTAAGGAAGTTCAGAATATCATCAACAAATAGGAGATAACAGCTAGAAGGGTTCTTGTTACTCCACCTGTGCATGCTTAGTATTTTATCTTTACACAACCGGTCCCAAGCCTAGACAAAGGAGGGTTGCATTAGGTAGCTGGTAGGCAGCATAAAACTTCGTCAAACCCCTTATGAAAATGGATCCTTAGCCGACCCCAAGTAGTTTGGAAAAAGCTATGCGGAGTTGAGTAGATTTGAGAACTAGAAAGATTTTTTTGAAAGCAGCTGGAAACCTCAAAAAGAACCCTCTCACTGCTTGGTAGAGCATCCTGCTTAAAACCTGTGTGACAAACTTGAAAAGATATGGAGGAAATGATTACCTCCATTAAACCTCTGAAGCTCTCTAGATAGATATGTTGTTTTGATTTGTTCTCTTTAAATGTTTCCTGTCTTAAAAAAGTTTGTGAATTTGTATTATATTTAGCATTTGTTAAATTGACAGTCATTTGATTAAGTTGCACTTCCTAGTGAACTTGAAACAACAGCTATTTGAAATCTCACATAGAGGAAATGCTCATTTACCTGAACTAACTGTTTGGAAAAGGGAAGAGCTTGACAATAACTCATATTTCTTGATTCACTGACCTTAGTTCGTGTCGGCCACTCAGGAATGGGATTTTCTTTCGCAAATAGAGAACGATGCTCAAAATTTCTTTCTAAAGATGCCTTGTGACATTAACTTCCAATGCTATAGTTCTTTTCTTTGCTCTTTATGATTGATTGACAATTGGTTATGCAGCAACAACTTTAAAGCTTAATGGGGCCAGCAATCAATTCAACCAAAATGATTGTGGGTTCTTTCTTTTCTTTTCTTCTTCCTTTACTCTGGAGAAAGAGGGCAGGGGGTAGGGTTGGGTGGCCAGGAGGGGGGGCGGGGCGGTGGCCATGGGTCGACATTGTCGATTGATGAGTGGAGTCTGAGTCATACAAATTTGGTAAATAGTTCCTTGGTCAAATACTTGATTTCATTTATTGTCTTTGCCTTAGAATCATTCCTTCATCAATTGCCTAGATTAGCAAGTTGAAAATTCTAGGAAACCAATTTACTGATGTCTTGTATGAATTTACATGTGAAAAGAAACGTCTAATCAAAATTATTTGAGGAAATTCAAACTACAGGGCCGTGCACTGATTCTTTGGCATGCATAAAACAACTATAGTGGTCACGAGACGCCAAATCAGTCAGTCATTTGCCATCCCATCCCAGCACCCAGTTAAAGGACTGAAAAGTGCGAAATTTTTTATTGACGTGTTGTTTATGACTTTCTTAATATAAAAGTCCTTTAAAATGCAATTATGCGTTACCCCCATTTTCTGCTCTTAAGTCAATGTTGTTCATCAGGGTTAGAAAGGGTCAGGGTGCATATTCAATTAATCACATTCTTTACAAAAATAAAATTCTTACTATGCATTGACATAGCCGAAATGATATATCACGACTCGACAGTCCTGATGGAGCGTGGTTCGAGTCACAGAAACAACCAGTCCATAGGTAAAGCTGCGTACAACTTGCTGTCCCCAAACCCCACTGTGGTGGGAGCATCGTGCATTTGGTTTCTCTTTGACTAATTCCATCTCAATTGATCAAGCAAAATAGTTTCAGGAAACTCTACATCTCTGTTATTTATTTTTCGTTTTACATGTTGAATGAAGAAAGCGAACTTCATTTGGGATCAATTTTAGACAATGATTTTGTAAAACATAATTTTTGCCAGCAACTAGGTAGTCTTCGTTGATTTGATATGAAGCCCCTGATCATCTACTGCAGAGTAGCCTGGTTGAACTTGTTTGCATACTAACTTGATTTTCTGTAGTTTTCAAATTGACCTGCTTCACACTCTTTTGGTTAAACAAACCTTTGCATAATCCAAAATATCTTTGCTGGATTGTAAAGTAGATCTTTTCATGTGAAAACACTAGTGTTTTGCCATCACAACTTGGGTTGAAAATTGACAAGATGCTATTCTTCCATCCAATTGATTAGAAATTGAATAGAAAATTTAATTCCAAATCAAATGTATCTCAGTTTTTTTCTCCAATGTCACTTCTGTGCTATATTTCAAAATATGATGCTAAAATTCAAAAAAATCTCTTCCACTATGTAATGACCGCAAATTTAAGGACCATTAAGTGATCTTAGGACAGTATCTTACCGTGTGCATTAGGAAATAATATAGTGAGTTTATCATTTTTTACAGCTTCTTTCATTCGACAGTGTTACTCTCAGTTTCAATCTGTTGCTTTATTTTTTTTCTCTAATTTTGTTTTTTGTTTTTTGTTTTTTTTGACATAGGGATCCTTAAAGATTGTATTCTTCAAGGGCTTCAATTATTTAAAGCAATGAAGACAAGGGCAGGCCCTACCCTACCCAAGGGAATATGTTCTAAAGAGTGCATGTAAAAGCTGTGGTTCCACTGAGTGCATGAGTGCCCTTGGCAAAGGGCACTTCACCCCAACTCATCAGGGTGGCTGTTCAAAGCCCGACAGCCCCTCCCCCTTTCCCTTAGGTGTAGATAATTTCTGTGTATCCAAAAAACCGTGGTTCCACTAGAAGAAAGCATAATCTGTGAGGTCTGTGCATGACCATTCAGCTACGTTATTTATTATTTTTAATTTTTTTCCCCCCGCTAATTACTACCTTAAATTCGATGTTTATGTGATTGCAGGGTGGGAGCTGATGAAAAATGAAAGGGCTTGTCTGATGATTAACAAGGCTTTGGAGAATAGTTCCATGGTAAACTATTCATTTATGTGCAGGGTCTCTTTTTTTTTATTTCTATTTTTTTTTGTTTGGTTCTTTTCCCCTCTATTATTTTTCTCCTTCTTATTGAGGATAAGACAGTAGGTATTTAAATTTATTGATTTTAGAATATCTTATCCAAATCTATATCAATTAGAAAGGGAAAAAGATAGATCGATATTCAATTTAAAATATTATCCTGGACCCTCCATGAACTTCTTCAGTATTTGAAAAAAAAAAAAAAAAAACTCAATAATGGGAGGTCAAATGACATGGGGTTGTTTGTGGTTCGGTTGTGGCCGGAAAAACTCTAATTCACCATCTGTCCACTAGATTGGCGGATTAGAAAAAATTAATCCGTATCTATCTACCAGATTGGCGAATTGGAAAAAGTCAATCCGCATTTGTCTGTTAGATTGACAGATGTGGATTGCGCGGATTGGTGGATGGATGCGAATCGGTTTGGCGGTTTAAACCTTTACAAATTTTGAACATAATATAACAATTTGTCAATATTTTTTTTGAATAACAATCCAACTCAATATAATCAAAAGATTATCAAGTAAATTGTCAAATACTAATAATAATTACATATAAGAAAATTATGCATTATTAAAACTATTTCATTATTATTTTTTTATTCAAAAACTATTTAATTTGATTTTTAAAAACAATGACAAAATTAAGTTTTATATTTTCCATACAAAAATACCAAATATAGCACTTGTCATTTGATGAAAGGATTTCCAAATTGAAAACACAACAAAATATCTAACATTTTTTTTTTCAATTAAAAACACAGAATATTTAAACAAATTGAAAATATAAAATCTTACAAATTATTAGGGGTGCTCGTGGCTTGGTGGTTCGATTGTGGTTAAAGAAATTTCAAATTTGCCATCCGTCCAAAATTAGGCGGATTGAAAAAAATAAATTCGTAACCGTCTGTTTGTTATCATGTATTTGTTCAAAATACTGTGAATCGGTTTGATTCGATTGGTTTGGATGAATTGAAATATTTGTTGTTCACCCCCAAAAATTACATGCGTATCTTGATTGCCAAGGTAGGAAAAAAGATAACTAAAGTTACAACATTTAAACTATCTGGAACAGAATACTTATTGAGAATAAATACTCTATTTTTCTCCTTGGAAAACATGATCAAAACATGTGTCTATTTGGTTTAGCTTTTTAATGTTGATTAGTCAGAATAGCATAATCAGTTGATAAGGTAGCCAGATGAACCTTAATATTTAGCTTGAATAAAAAAATTATTAAATGCAGATTTTCCTTGAAAAACTCCATTACTAATTATGTGTAGTATATATTCGTGTAGCCATCCTTGTTGACATTGCTGGCATGCCAGTCAATACATTTTCCATTTGCTTGAGTGATTTTCTAAGAGCACAGAATTTAGTATGCTGAAAGGACAAACCTTTTTTTTTTAATATTATATTTAAAATTTCCTCCTTGTAAGTTTTGTGTTTGCATGTTTTACTCAATATTTTTTTCTCTTTTTTGCAACCAATCTTTCTTCTTTGGCCTTATCTTTCAGCTCTTGTTGAAGGTAGTGCTTAAATGCCAAAATATTAGAGTTAAAGAATGCTCATAAAACATGCACTTAACAGCAAGGTCATCTTAGCCATTAATTTCAAAACCTCATGAAATAATAGAGATGCTCTTAGGCCCTATTTGTTTTCAGAGATAGAATGGAGGGGATTAATAGTGAGGGAATTGTTAGTGAGGGGATTAAGTAAAATTATATTTGTTTTGATGATAGTTGTTAGTGTAGGAATTGTTAAATTATTTTTATATAAAATAATAAAATATAAAAAATTAAACATTAATATTGTAAAAAAAATTCTCAATATATAAAAAATAAATTTTTTTTTAATCCCCTCACTATTTTTCTAATACCATCTCTACCTCCTCCTTCGCAATCCCCCTTTCAAGGCCTTTACTAATACCAAGGGATTAGGAGTCCCTTCCTCACCTCTCAAAACAAATACCCCATATAGTAGTCTCACTTCACTATCAAACCCAATCCCCTCCCTATAATCCCAAACAAACGGGGCCTTAGGGATGAATTGGGTGAGAAAACTTCTCTTGGGCAAATTAAAACTATCCTTTCTAACAGACTCATCTTCAGACACTTGTATTGCTGTCTCTTAAAAACAAATATAAAAGTGATGTGACCAATAAGAATTAAATTGGGAACACTCAATAATTTTCTACCATAAAAATATGGGCAAATTACATATACACCCCTCGAGGTTTGGTAAAATTACAGATACCCCCCTGAGGTTTCGGAAATTACATCCCGCCCCCTGAGGTTTGTATTTTCATAACAATTTACCCCCTGAGGTTTATATTTCATAACAAATTACCCCCTAATTTCTTATGTAAATATAGCATTCAGGGGGGAATTTGTAATTTCTCAAACCTCAGGGGGGTATTTGTAATTTAGCCAAACCTCGAGGGGTGTATATGTAATTTGCCCTAAAAATATCACCTAAAAAAGTTGGCTCATATTCAAGCCAGCTTAGTACGATCCATTTCATGATGAAACCATGGAATAACAAACATAAATGGTGAGAATAAGTTTTTTGGAAGAACAGTCTCCAAATTCTCTGAGCATGACTTCCCAACTGTGTAATAAATGGTTTTAATGTTTTATCTCAAGCTTTACCTACCATGATCGAAATGTCTCTGCTTGGCTTTCCATATAAGATTTTGGAAAAAACTTCTCGCAAGCAATTCATAATTCCCCTGAGACAGTTACAATATACTTGAATGTGACAGTTACAATATATATGCATACAACAAAACACAAATCTAAAGCCCAAATCCAATACTAATATGGAATTTCTCAAAAGGCAATTGTTAGAAGAATATATTGCCAACAAGTGACGACTCCTGATGGGTCTTTAGGATAGGTTTAGTAGGAAAATAAGACATGGTGCTAATAATTAAACTATTGATAGGTGGGTCTTTTAGGGCTTATGGTGTTGGGTGTAGATGTAATCTAAGTGTGCCTCTGCAACCATCCTTCTCTTCAGACAATCTTCATCTCCATTTTGACATTCTTCCACCCCCATCAGCTGCTGCAGAGAGTTTCCAAGCTAAAATAACAGTTAGAAACAAAGAAAACCTTGTTTGGTAGCTAAGAAAACTGAGAAAAGAAAAGAAGATGATTACATTTAAAGAGTCATTTTCTTCCCCCTCTACTAGAGAACCCCCAGTAGTGATTTCATTCAGCTTTGTCTCCTTTTCTCCTGAAAAAAATGCAAAGTTTTAGCTTCCATAGTAAGTACCAAAAGAACAAGGAGGAGAACGAATTTATAAATAAAAAAACCTTGTTTGGTTGCTAAGAAACGAGCTACTGTTTGTGAGGTGGTAACAAGGAAAATAATGAAGAACATAACATAAATAGAATGGATGTTTTGCTTCATTGTGTTCAGCTTATCAGAGAGACAGAGAGAGATTATGTAGTTTGGAGCTTGGGTAGTGGAGGCCGCATATGCTTGGTATAAATACATGCAAAGAGTGGGGGGCAACCACTCTTGAATCCCGTGAAGCCCCCAAACAAGGCAGTTTCTGAGCTTACAAATGACATATGGAGATGGCCCAACTTACCATCATCATTTTGTTGTACTCTATCCATGCTCATGTGACCACAACACCAATAATCTGATATATGAGAGAGAGAGAGAGAGAGAGAGCTCTAGTCACTGTCAAGGTAGTGGTCCAGGTAAAGTCCAAAGGCTACAAAAATCAATGTGAAATAGAGGCTGACAGTGTCAACAAGTCAACCTTTTGGACATGCTTATAGCTGTTTCCCACATCACCTTCCTTAATAATTGAGGAATTATTCAGTGTTCTTCGAATAAGTAAAAGTAGTGTTTCATCAATAGGGATTAGTTCCGTCAATAAGACTTTCAAATCCCTCTCTCAAGGCTTGAGTTCGAGTCTCCATAGCCCCTTGTTGAAGGTTAAACATACTCCTTAGCGCCTGGAGCACGCGGGAGCCGAAGTTTCGCCCCAACGTAGCGGTGGGGTTCCCTACAGATATGCTGTAGGTGTTAAGGAGCAATATTCTCTGGCGGATATGCTCAAGTAGTCTATCTACATATCCATTTTATGAATCTAAAAAGGTGCTAAGGGGTAATATTCTCTGGCGGATATATTGAAGTAGTCTATCTACATATCCATTTTATGAATCTAAAAAAGAAAAAGAAAAAGTAGTGTTTCAAATTAATAGTAATTTCGTTCCAAAAAATAAAAAAAAAGAAAAGAAAAAATTGATAGTTATTTGTATAGACAATAAAATTCAATATTTTAAACATAGTTGGTATTTTAAAATGTAATATAAAAAAAAATATCAATTAATAGTTGGAATCAAGCTTTGTTTCAAAAGCATCTAATAATTTTCCCCATTTACACTATATACTGCCATGTGTAGTTAACTTATGAAGAGATTATTATGGGTTGTTTTGGCGACACATTAAAAAAGTTAAAAATTAATTTTTAATTCATTTTGGGTCATATTATTTTTTACATGAAACAATAAAAAAAGTTAAAAAATAAGAAGGGCAAAATAGGAAATTTACATTATTTTTGTACTTGATTTATAAAGAGGGACTAATATTTTGGGACAATGAAAAATGGAATAAGGGACTAATATTTTGGAACGGAGTGAGTAATAATTTTCCCCATTTACACTGTATACTGCCATGTGTAGTTAACTTATGAAGAGATTATTATGGGTTGTTTTAGCGACACATTAAAAAAGTTAAAAATTAATTTTTAATTCATTTTGGGTCATATTATTTTTTACATGAAACAATAAAAAAAGTTAAAAAATTAAAAAAATTAACTTTTAATCATCTTTTCAAAACACTCTTATATATTTGTATGACAAGTAAGCAATGAAGAACCGTTCAAAAAAAAAAAAAAAAGAAAAAGAAAAAGAAAAAGAAAGCATTGAAGAACACTATAAAATCCATCAGTGAAATTGATTCCCACTGCCCACATGTAAGCAACCTGTATGAGTGGCCATTCCACCTATTTTGAGTGGTATCGGTTCTCCCACACTTAAGTGCTAATGTGGTATCATACCAAACTCTGTCATCTATTTTTTTGTTTTTTATTTTTTATTTTTTTTATGTTATAAATTTAGCAATCGATCATAAAGTTAGGCACGGAATATATATGAACAACTAAGGTCTTACTAGGTTTGTTAGTAGAATTTATTTTTAAAAAGTCTGATCCATTCATATACATTTTATGTCCGATTATTTGATTGATTTATATGTACATAGACTTATTCTTTATATAATTTTATTATAGCTTTTCTCTGATGAGAAATCTTCTGAAGTAGGGTTACATTGGACATATAGTTGCAGAATAAACCCTAATTATCTACAGTTACTTCGAAATCAAATTCAAATAAGATTTACGCAAGGAACTAAAACTTGAGATGTCTGGATTTATGATTAATCTCAAGAAAGTCTCCTTTACCATTGGCTATCCATGCGGGTTTTAGTTTTGTTGTATTGTTACACTTACCAAACAATCCATAGTTGGTTAATGTGAAACTGCACTTCCAACTAAAAATTTCATTTTGCAATCAAATGGTTTGATGGTTCATCCTATACGTTGAGAAATAGAGGACTTCATTGGCAATGATGGAGCGGCACACTCTTCTTCAGTTTACCTCAGTGTATATTGTATGATGATGATATCTCTTCAATTAAGGATGTGGATTATATTTTAAATGAAATATAGATTATATGATTCTCTTTTGAGGGATTTGAATCTATATATGCTTGCGGAAAGAATAACAAAAATATTTAAAAGAATGCTTGTAGGTGGTGGTGGGTTTGGGTTCTGTGTAGAAATATGTTTTTTAAAGGGGAGTAATTCTTTGCAGAACTGAACTGGAATATACAAAGGTTTTGTCTGCTAGTACCAGACAAATCTGAATAGAAAACATGCATTTATTAGACTCATGAGAAGGATTTGGACTATATGGATATGAATATAGCTTTGGAATTTGGTTCCTTTATTCTTTTATCCTATTATCAAATATTGTGTTCAAATCAAGAGGGATTACTACATGAATTTTTTTTTTTTTTGACATTATACCCTTTTATTGATTATATGCTTAGTTAAATTAAATAAATATATATGTATATATATTTTTTTATTATCGCATTTCATATTAGTTTAAGTATTTTCTATTCTTTTATCTTATTGCTTTGAATTAATTATCAGACTTGATTGCAGAGATTTTATTTGCTTAATTGAGTATTAAACTTTTCCTATGTTATGATTGAATTTTTGAAGGCATATGATATGTGGTGTTCTCTGCAAGTATGATGGACCTGGATTAGATTGCTACAAATTAGCAAGGTAGCAACAGAGGTCATCAAGACTAGGTATTACATGACTGACTTTGGTTGTGTTTGTGAATCTTAAATTTTGCTGAAAATGGAGGAATTAGTGTTAGAATAAGGCCTGTCAATAGATCAGATTTAATCTAAATAACAAATATATGATCAATAATTTGATATAATTCGGATCTGATTAACAATGTTTAGCCCAGACGCATATTAAGATTGGTAATCCAAAATTGAAAAAGTGAATTAAATTTGGATTAGATAAGTGAGTGATAAAGCTTTTGGATTGAAACGGAGAAAGCAGAAGCCTCTTTTCGTCTCCTAGTGATGACTTTTTTTGTTGTTGCTTTTGGTATTGCTAGGAGGAACTTTTGCCAGAATACCACCACAACATCCACACACCACTTCATAGATTTGGGAATCTCAAACTCCCAAACTCCAATAGCATAACTATGACCAAACTTCTCAAATGATGTATCCCCATTTTCCTAATGTTTTTGTTTTTGCTTTTTTGGCAAAAAGAAAGGAAAAATGGTAGGATCTCTCACTTTCACAGTTCATAACCCGTTTCAATACCCGTCACAACCCTTTTTCTTTAAAATTACTATTGAAGGTTTTAGATATATGATACTGTGATTAAGGAGTGATTTAGGAAGCTAACTTTTAGCTTTTAACTTTCAACTTATTTTGGGTTACATCATTTTTCATATTTTTTACACACAAAATGACAAAAATTAAAAAAAAAAAGAAGTTAAAAAACTAACTTTTAACCAACTTTCTAAATCACCTTTTAAGAGTTGGGCAACTTAAGTAAGTGGTGGAATGTGAGGGGAAGAGGAATAAAATAATTTTTTTATAAGTTTGTGTAGTATAAAAGTTGTGAAAAATACAAAAAAATAAAAAATAAAAAGTTATACAATTTATATATGCATGGTATCTAGTTTTTTCATTTGTAAAAACATACCAAAAAAAAAAAAATTAAATTTGTCTATGCAATAGATAACTTCTATATAAAATTTTAAATTTTCGTCTTGCAAAACCTTTATCTTAATCTAAAATTTCCAAGAAAGAATATATATATATATATATATATTTTTGGGTTTGACTTTGACTTTCCACCACTTTTATTTTTATTTATTTATTATTATTTTTTTCCTTCTAATCAAACCGAGCCAACTATTGAGCTCAGGAAAACAAATGATCTGGGCCCAAGTGAGCCCAATTCACGGATCGACCCCCAAACAATCTTGCCATGGATTAAGATAACTCGGCCCGGATTGCTTTGCCCATGTTTTGATGGGTTTTGGTGTGACTGGCCTTTCCAAACATTTCTTGTGGTATGATAGATAAATGAGTGGAGAATATCAAGAGGCTTAGTTTTGGTCGGGTTGATAACACTGAATAATGTTATATACATCAATTAGTGTATTAATTAGTGTATTAATTGATGATGTGACATAATCTAAGAGGTTTTGGATATTTATAATTTGTATAATGAGTGAGGTCAATAATAATATCATAACTAGAGTTGGTATATTAATTAGTATATTAATTAGTGTAGGTGGCATTACCGCATTCTTACGCATGGTTGTACAATGCAGTTTTCTTTCTACTACTACCTCTTCTATCAATTGAGAGAGAAGAAAGAAAAAATTTGAATGCAGATTCTTTTTCTCTCATTTATACTAGTTCAATGGAAAGAAGTTATTTTGGCTTTTAATTGCTATATAGGGAACTTGCCTTTAAAACTTTAGTATCGGAACTTGTCATTTTAAAATAAGATATTTATTTAAATGGCATCTAATTATTAAAAAAAATTGGGCGAATTACATTAATAGTCTCTATAGTTTGGGACTCGTGTTACTTTGGTCTCTGATTTTGGGACACATTTGATTTTAAATTTTGATTATTGTTCTAAATAAGGACAATTAAAGATATCATTGCTTAATTTCAAGGATAAAATTGTCAATTTAATAAAATATAAACTAATTTGACAAAAATAAATGTTAAAAAAATATTTTTAAATTTTTAAAAATTATTTCTACCAACTAAAGATAAAATTATGTAAAATTGATAAATCTTTTAGACATTTATTTATATTTGGGTAAATTAAAAATATACCAATTGAGATTTACTTAAAATATAAATTATCCCCTGTAGTTTGAAAAATTACAAATATCCCCTTGTTAAAAAATTTTATTTAACAGAATTAATTAAAAAAAAGAAATTTATAATTACTCTCCTGTACAATAATAAAATTACTTAAATTATTAATTGAAACATATTTATAACATCATTAAAAACTGTTAATTGACTTAATGATTTATTAATAAAAGGGCCGATTTGTTATGAAATTAGAAACTTCAAAGGGTGGAATGCAATTTTCAAAACTGTAGGGGGCGATTTTTATTTTAATCAAACCTCAGGGGGTGTATTTGTAATTTATCATTTATTTATTTTATCAAATTAATTTTTATTATGTGTTTGGATGATGATCATGTAATGGGTGATTGTTAAGATTTTAATGTGTAATCGATATATTTAATATATGAATTATTTTTAGTTTTGAATTTTTTGATTTAATGGATTGGTTTAATAATGATATCAAAATTGTTGTCATATTTGATTTTAAAAAAAATAGAAACTACTTTAATGAAAGTACAAACAATCACTCATTATATGATTATCATCCAAACACATAATAAAAATTAATTTGGTAAATAAATAAATAAATAAATAAATATCTAAGAGATTTATCAATTTTATATAATTTTATCTTTAGTAAGTAGAAATAGTTTTTAAAAATGTAAAAATATTTTTTTGACATTTATTTTTTTCAAATTAGCTTATATTTTATTAAATTAACGATCTTGCCCTTGAAATTAAGTAATAGTATCTTCAATTATCTTTATTTAAAATAAGATTTAAAATTTAAGATCAAATATGTTACAATTAAAAAGTTAAGGATCAAAGTGACATAAACTCTAAATTATGAGAACTATTAATGTAATTCTCAAAAAAAAAAAAAAAAAAATCACTATGGCAGGCTTGGAGTTGGACTGGGCTCGGTCTGTACGAGTCTACACTCCCCCAGGTCCGGTAATGTGCCCAAACTTAGATTTAACCTTTCCAAATGTACATATTCCCCCAGGTCCGGTAAGGAGCTGTCAGTTTGGTAGGGGTGTTCGCGGATCGGTTTTGTGCGGTTTGCGGTTCGGTTTTGACTCGCCAGCATCTATGCGGTTTGGGAAAAAGTCAACCCGCAACCGCCCGCAGTGCGGTTTGTGCGGATAGGGTTTGCAAATGTGCGGGCGGTTGCGGGCGGTTTGCGGTTTACACTTTTTTCTTTAAAAATTAATTTTTGAGTTTTTTTTTCCCAACGAATTTAGGCATCAGATTCATTTTATATATTTGTGATAACAATTTTTTGATTAGTTTACAAATAAAAATTGAATATCAATGCATTAAATGAAAGTACCCAAAACAAAGAGACCCTACACTAGCATTTTTGCCATGAAAAAAATGTATATCAATACATTAAAGGTTGTATTCAATTAGAATTGCCAGTTCAGTAATCAATAATCAAACTATAACTTCTATCGACCATTAGAAGGAAAATTTTATTAGGAAAAAGTGGATGAATCACCAATGAAAATCATATAAGAAACCAAGTTTAGGACTTGATAATTCTACGGCATTAAGAAAGTTGAGAAATACTTAAAAATAAGGATCCTAGTGTCATAGAGAATATAATGGTGCTCCTGTAAAAGTTACAAAGTTGGTATATAAAAAAAAAAAAAAAAAATAATAATAATTAAAGTGCGGGCGGTTTTTGCGGGTTGCGGGTTTAAATCGCGACCCGCCCACAATCTGCAAATTTGTCATATTTCAAACCGCATCCGCCCGCATTATGTTTGCGAAACCGCCCATTTATATGCGGGTTGGGCGGATTGGGCGGTTTGAGCGGTTTGGATAAACCGTTGCCCACCCCTACAGTTTGGTATAACTTTTAGGAGGTGAGCATAGTTTATTTTAATTTAAGAGTTTGTATTAAATTGTTTTGTACAGTTTCTGCTGATAACTTATTACGCAGAAATAGTTTAAATAAGTTGAAAAAAAACTTATTATTTGAAAGCTGAGGAATGAGTGTTTTTAACTTTCGCTTTCTAATTATCAATTTTTAACTTAAGAAAAATTCTACCAAACAGAGCCATTACGGACATCATGACCTTTTTGATATTCATGGTCCAAACACAGCATAAAAATTTATGCTCTTGTATAAAGCTTCATAGGATTTGGATAATCTCCAGGTAATCTCTACAAATATTTGATAGACCTTTGGATATGATTATGTTGGAAGATGTAAATTTTGCACAGGAAATTAAAAGTAGCTTCATTTTTATAGACTGTTAAATGGCTTGGTCGTACGTATAAATTGATTATTCCAAATGTAAGTTATTTATTGAAATTAATTTGGGCAATGAGCTAACTACATTGGTGAGAAAGAGAAAATATTAGGAATTTTGATTTCGATTAGTTTCTCTAAGGCCAGTGATTTGAGGCCTAAATCATCAATTTTAAATGAGGTTTTTATATTTTTAATTTTTTTTGGTATAGTCTAGTATTTAAAATTTATTTATTTCTCTTTTTTAGGTGAAATTTTATTTATTAGATATTTAAATTTAATTTTTGCTAATATATTTAACAGTCTAATTGAATTTCAAGTGATAGTTTGGGAGTAATATGAAATTTTTTCATTTATTTTCCCTCCAAAGAAGGGTTTGTGAGCCAAGTGAGATTAGTAGGTCGTGACATTGATTCAAATTAAAATAATTTTAGTGTAAATCGATATAATTAAAAATAGAGTTAATTGTCTAAAAGTTTTATTTTCAAATGTTATGGTAGTTCATGTTTTATTTAAGATTTTTTGAGCGAATAAGTTCTATTTAGTAAAATTGAGAATACGATTAGTTTTTTTCAATTTTTAAAACTAAAAATATTATTAATTTTACATAGATAATTGTTTCACTAACTGATTAAAAAAAAAAACAGAGCATGAGATTAAACGTTTTTGTCTTTTTACTTATTGGTTTGATTCAACTATCAAATAAAATCGAAAACATTATTAATTTTTTTTTTTAGTTTTAAAATTAAGAACCTTATCAGTTTTTTCATTTTTAAAGTTTTTTTTTAATTTTTTTTTGTTTGCAGTTTTGCGTTTCAATGTTTCATCATCGTGCTCCATTATAGACACAAGAATTTTAATTTTGCACAAAAAAATAATTTAGTTTTTTCAAATTTTTCAAAAAGAATAATAGTTTTTTTATTTTTATTTTATGAAAGTTGATATTTTAAAATTTTGAAAATCAAAATAAATATCAAATCATTACGTTTCTTTATAAATAATTATAAATGATGAACAATAATGGTTTGAAGGTCAATTCCGATTATTAAAAATTTAATGAAAATTTAAGGTTAAAAAAAATCTTAGTTAGATTAATGTAATATAAATTCATAAATTAAAACTTGTACATAAATATCTCACAAAAATATAAATCTAATAAACTTTAAGGAATAATTTAAGAATAAAATGACATGTCAAAAAACCAAAGCCAAACACTGTTCACTCAACTATTAATTCGTCATCGGCGGTTTAAGCTTTACGATATTCGAAGTTGAAGATTCACTTTGACTCCAATACTAGACACCGGAAATATTTTTATATATCAATAGGGTATTAAGTGGTATTATTCTTTTACTAATATATATGTCTTCTAATATTATTCAAATATTTAATAATATAGCTCATATTTTATTACTTTTTATCAATTATATTAGTAAAAAAATACCAAATGAATATACTCTATCTACGTACAAAAGTCACTGATTTGTATGAGTTTTATATTGACTCATATAATTCAAGGATTTAGATTATGTCACTGCCACTAATGATATTAAATAATTACTCATTTTTTCTT